ACGAATCCATTTGATGTGGTGCCTGCAAGTTCCTGAGAGGAGTTGAAACATAAAGTAGTTAGACTGAAATCCAGGCTATTGTTCAGTGCCTTTGTTTTAAGTTGGTAAGTCTTGAGTTATAGCCATAGGAAGGGGCAGGTCAAGACTGGGACTTCATTTCAGTCCCTCAGGTCAGAGGGACATGGAGAGTTTGTATAAATCAAAGGTTGTCACATGAGATTAGATAACATTAGAATAAAGCATTTGAGGGGAAGAAGCTTAGATTTGGGAAGCAGAGTTCAGACACAGCAGGTTATCAGTAGACCTAGAAAAGTTAAAATAGTCTTAACTGAGAGAATAATTTGATGGAACAAACTAACGGGAATCAGCAGCCATTTAGATTTTAGAAAACAAGGAAGGAGGGAGCCAGGCCCAAGAAATAGATTGGTGGGATTAAAACCTATATATGAAGGGCTCCAGGGTGGCTCAGTCGGGTAAGCACCGACTCTTGATTTCAGCTCAGGTCATGATCTCAGGGTCATGGGATCAAGCCCCCTGTCGACTCAGCGGGGAGTCTGCTTGAGCTTCTCTCTCCCTCTGCCCCTCCCTGCACTCGTTCACCTGCTCTCTCAAATGATCTTAAAAAAAAAAAAAAAAAAAAGCCTATACATGAGAAAACTGGGTATCTAGATAGCCCAAACTTAGAGTGCATGCATGCAGCCCTGATCTTCTGACCCAAGCATAGAGGTGGGAATCATTAGGGAAATGGATAAAAGGTCCCAGAATAGACTTTCATTCTTCTCCAACATTTTCCAGTATAAAACCAGATCAAATTTTGAGAATACAGGGAGAATTACATTCCCAGTTTTTGGTGAGGAGTTGATATATCTAATTAGAATGAGGGTTGGAATGAAGCTTGGCACTTCCTAATGGCAATGTTACAGCAGAATTAAGTTATCAGCTGGGTAAGACAGGTTTATTACTGTGTATCAGGCATTCTGTCATATCCTGTAGATCTAAAGATTAAATATTCTCTCGATATAAATTCGATTACTTACAGAAGTTTTTAAAAAGCTTTGAATGGTCTGGCAGCATATTTAGCACTATTTTCTTTTTCTAAAATACTGAATGTTACAGTGATGTCCTACAGGTCTCAAGAAATGGTCTTTGAGGGAGGTCCTAGAGAACTGAGTTTGATGTTGAGGATTGACAACAGGAGAATGTATAGAACATTTGGAGCTAGAAATTGAATAGAAGGGGAATTGAATTAAATTTGGAGCTAGAAATTGAATAGAAGGGGGAAAAAAAAAGAAGGGGCGCCTAGGTTAAGTCTGACTCTGATTTCGGCTGGAGTCATGATTTCAGGGTTTTGAGGGGTGTGGGGCCTGCTTGGGATTCTCCCTCTCCCCCCCCACCCAAAAGAAAGAAAGAGAGAGAGAGAGGGAAAGAAAATAGAAGGAAAAGTGGAGGATGACAGGCTGTCTCTGCAGTCATGTGCTCAGTTCACATTAGTTCATTAACTCCACCTACTTCAAAAAGAACTTTGAAACAGCTTATCAAAATTAGACACTGGTGAAAATTTATTTTATATTTGGATACAATAAAACTAATGGCTAAATAGAGCAGAGAAGTAGATGTCAACAGATATTTGAGATTTAATGTTCAGACAGATAAACTTGAGCAAGCTCACTTAGAAGCCAAGGCACAAGATGGGAGAAACCTGTTAAACCATCTTTTTTTTTTTGATTAAAAAAGTAAGCACATGGAAACTAGCTGAATCATTCTCCTGTTTCTGCATTCAAGGAGAATATACTTTGGGTATTCTTACATAAGGGATTTTTTTTGGTTAAAGATAATTATTTCTTTAACAGATGGGTAAAACACAACGTTCTAGAGCAAGTCTTTCATCAGTCTTTGTAAGCTAAAGACTTAATATTAAATTTTAGTTAAGGCATTCACTGAGGAGTTATCTGTGCCTATTTTCTGATAATCAGATTTAATAAAGAAATGAGATTTTAGAGAATCTAGAGTAATGATTAGTTGGAAGCCTATGTATTAAGTGAGCCTTGGAAAAGTACTTAATTACTCGGTATTTCTCTGAGTACTATCTTAAATTTCTGCAGTATGTGCATTTAAAAAGGCAGGGGATCTCAGGTGAAAGCTGACTTCTCAGACTGTTGAAAATGTTTTATAAATCTAAATTATATTTCCCCTACCTCATCCCCTACCCTCCATCACACACACACACACAGCAAACAAAGCTGTGATCGGCTAGAGTATGAGCTAATGCTTGATCGAAACTCCAGGGCTTTACTACACAAAATGAAAGTATATGTAGTCAACTGTGGGGGAAGAGCTGATGCATCTTCATTGCCCTAATAATACAAATTACTAAAGAATGGACTTTCAAGTGTTTGATGGATCCTTTAATATTATTCATTTAAATGGAGAATGCCTACAGAGTAGGATTTTAATTTTAATAATGGCTAACCCTGTTGAGCATCTTTAGTATGTTCTAAAAGCTTTATTTTTATGTGATGTTTCTGTGAAATGAGTTTGTTTTGTGAATGAGAAACCTAAGCTTCAGAGGTTTAGCAGCTTGTGATAAGGTGACATAGTTGGAATTCATATCCATGTTTTTCTGTGCAAAGCTTGTGCAATGCTGTGTCTTATATTTGTTCATTTTAATTTATTCTTAACAAATATCTATTTTCTCCCAGACACTGAAGATACAGTTTGGAGAAAAGGAAAAAATCTAAACAAAAAAGACATGGTGTCTATCCTTAGAGCTTATTCTTTTGTAGGAGAGGGCAGGAGTGGATCTCAGATGGGCAGTCGCCAGGGCCTACTGAGAAATTCTGGGAAGCTGACCTTTACTTTATATGTACAGCTTGTTGTGAGCACTGTAGAATGTGTTGATGTAATTTTGCACCTGGTGAGTCGACTGCCATTCAGGTAGGAATTGAAGCCACAAGTATATTAAAATTCCCTGTTAGTTTAGCAGAGGTAGCTTCTTAAATGGTCTGATGGGATCTTGACCTAATGGTTGGCAGTATCAACAGGTGGGCACTTCTCTGGGAACTTAAAGGGACAGGCATCTGTACTTCTCCCACAAGTGATTTCAGCTTGAACAGCTCTTACAGCATTAACATCTTAACTGTATTAAAGGAACTTATATAACTTTGACCTTTGGTGTTGCTGTCACTCTTTATGACAGTCCTTTTAAATAATCAAGTATTAAGTGATCAGAGAGGTAAATGTCAAAGTACTATGATGAGTGCTTCAGAGGTGAATGACAGTACAGTGAGAGTATAAAAGGGGAGGTATTGATCTGGCTGGAAAGGTAGGGAAGGCTTTCCTCATTACGTGTTGCTCAAACTAAGATGAGTACACATTAACTAGCGAGGAGACCCTGGTGAAGAGTATTCGAAATAGAGGGAACAAGCTCATTTTCAATGCTGTGTGGCAGGAAGCTGAAACAGGACCATTGTGCCTGGAGCACAGGGCTCAGGAGGGGAGCGTGGAGTGAGATGAGACCGGAAAGGTGGACAGGAGTTCCGACTATGTGTTTATCCAAAGCATGGGAAGTCACTGACCTTTTTAAGGGGGTATTTAGTCACCTGATCAGATTAGTTTTTGAAAAGATAGACATGCACATCCATTTAGAGGTGTCCTCTGGGTAAGAGATGAGAGTTTTTGGGGCTGTGGTTTTGGTGGTCGTTGGAGGAAGAAGAGGAGAAAAATGGGAACACTGGGTAGAAATCAGTAGAATTCGTTGATAGATAGGTTATAAGGGGTGCTGGAGCAAAAGCTGTAGAGGACTCCCTAAATTGCTAGTTGACTAACCAACACATTCTGTTTTAGTTACTTTTAAAGTCTTCTTTTGTTTTTGCAATGTTGTAAAATGGCCAAGGCTTCGTTTCCAGACTTTGAAGTTAGTATCTTACAGCATTATAGTTAAAATCTTGTCATCACTGAGTACACTGCAAGTTTTAATCAATATTCATTTAACCTTAGTTATCTGTTCATTGCTTGATTCTCCCCCCTTTAACGGTTTCTCTTTAAGCAGTTTTATTATCCTTTGCTTATATGAGAAATTTCAAAACAAAATTATTTTTTGGTGGAGATTACTGCTAAACCTTAAATCCCTTGATTTCTAAAAAGTTTTGAGATATAGTTCATATACCATAAAATTAACCAATTTGAAGTATATAATTCAGTGGCATTTAGTATGGTTGTACAACATTACCACAATCGATTTTAGAATATTTTTATCACCCCCAAAAAGAAATGTTGTACTCATTAGTAGTTATTCATCATTTCTTTCCAATTCCCCCAATTGTAGGCAGTCACAAATAGATTTGCCTTTTCTGAACATATCATATAAATGGAATCTTACAATATCTGGTCTTTTTAATATGGCTTTTTAAACTGAGCATAATGTTTTCAAGGTTCATCCATTTTGTAGCATATATCAGTACTTCATTTCTTTTTTATGGCTAATATTTTGAATGGATATAACATTTTGTTTATCCATTCATTTGATGGACATTTGGGTGGTTTCCACTTTTTAAATGACTTTTATGAATAATGTTGCAGTGACCATTTGTGTACAGGTTTTAATGTGAATATATATTTTCATCTCTTTTGGCTATATACCTGGGTCATATTACATATTACTGTGTTTCACTTTTTGAGGAACTGCCAAGCCGTTTTCCAAAGCTGCTGTACCATTTTATATTCCCACTAGCAATGTATAAGGGTTTCAGTTTCTCCACATCCTTGTTCACACTTGTTATTAACTGTCTTTTTTATTATAAACAAGTAAGTGTGAAATTGTAACTTATTGCGGTTTTGATTTACATTTCCCTGACAGCTAATGATGTTGAACTTGATTTTTAAAAGAAAGCAGCACTTTAATTTTATTGGGAATATAAAAATGGAAATGTTTGGTAATTTCATGTAATTGCTTAGGGACCATTAGTTTTGCTGTATTTAAAATTTGTTTTTCCTTTTATCAGTTGTATTCCCTGAATGACTACAAACCACCCATTTCTAAAGCGAAAATGACCCAAATTACTAAGGCAGCCATCAAAGCTATTAAGGTGAGTAATAAATTTTACACTTGTGTTTTCAGAAGAAAATACTATACTAATATTTTAGAGGAAGGATAATTATTACAGATTATACAGTTGCCCATTGAACATCACAGATTTGATCTGCACAGGTCCACTTACACGTGAATTTTTTTTTATAAATTCAGTGCATTACTGTGAATATATTTTCTCTTCCTTACGATTTTCTTAATAACATATTTTCTCCAGCTTACTTTATTGTAAGAATACAGCATATAATACATATAACATAGAAAATATGTGTTAATTAACTGTTATCAGTAAGGTTTCCACTCAACAGGAGTTAATTTGGGGGGTTGTCAGAAGTTACATGTGGATTTTCGACTGTTCAGGGAATTGGTTGTTTTAGGGTCAAATGTGTATTTTCTTCCTCTTTACAGAGTTAATACATGTTAGTGAAAATTTATCATCACCTGTGAACTCTCCCACCTAGAGATAAACATTTAACACTTTGATAAATATAAGCTTTGAAGCTATCATTTTTCTTTACTTAGGCAAGATTTTAGATAGAGCCACATTGTGGTGAATGTGTTTATTTGTCACACTGACTTTACAGAATCTTGGTAAGAGGTCTCTAAATAAAAATTAATGGTTTTTTCCTTATTGATTCTATTATAGATTTGAAAATGAGCCATTATGAAAAATAATTGAACCTCATTGTGTATAGGATGTTTTAGCTGTGGGAAGAGGCCGCAGGCCTTTAGCCATTGCTCTGATGCAGAGGTTTTGAACTGATCTATGTTGACTCATTGATACTTCTGAAAATCTCAGAGAAAGGTTGGACTTTTCTGTAGAGAAATATACATATGCACAAAGTTTTGCGTAAAATTTCTTGACTTTAAGGAGCTTTTGAAGTTCAACCATGGATACCTCTTCCTTGTCTGCAAAGCTAAAGCTCCCTGCTTTAGTAGGGCTGTTAAAATCAAGAATGAATGAGGACATATATTTAATTAAGTAGGTTTTAATCTGTGGATATTTGGTGATATGTTTCCCTACTGTAAATAACATCAGCCATAACCGGAAGCACCATTTATTTATTTATTTATTTATTTATTTATTTATTTGAAAAGATTTTATTTATTTATTTGACAGAGAGAGTGAGAGAGCGAGAGCAGGAACACAAGCAGGGGGAGTGGGAGAAGGAGAAGCAGGCTTCCCGCGGAGCAGGGAGCCCAACATGGGGCTCGATCCCAGGACTCTGGGATCATGACCTCAGCCGAAGGCAGACGCTTAACGACTGAGCTACCCAGGCGCCTCAGCACCAATTATTTAAATAAATTGTCTTTGAATAATAGCATTATCTATTAGATTTAACAAATTCCTATTTACAGAGAGAATTGCCACTAGGAAAAAATTCAGATAGTTGATTTTTCAGTGTTCTGGGGGCCAAAGCTTAGTTTTCAGACATGCAGTTAATTTCTTATACCATTGTAGTTAAAATCCCTGTATTTATATGTGGAAAATCAAAGAGGTGATAAGTGATAAGGAGAGTGACCAGTAAGCATTTAAGCAAGAGAATTCTTCAAAGAAGTGAATTTTCGGGGCGCCTGGGTGGCTCAGTCGTTAAGCGTCTGCCTTCGGCTCAGGTCATGATCCCAGCGTCCTGGGATCGAGCCCCGCATCGGACTCCCTGCTCAGCAGGAAGCCTGCTTCTCCCTCTCCCACTCCCCCTGCTTGTGTTCCCTCTCTCGCTGTGTTTCTCTCTGTCAAAAAAAAAAAAAAAAAATCTTTAAAAAAAGTGAATTTTCAGGATGTCTGATAGGCTTAGTATAGAATGTTTAGTCTCTTGTACTTTCTTTATCCTATTTTACATTGTGATCTGATTTTTATGATCATGATTTTGAGAGTGTGCAAACCATGGATATTACCATTTTTAGTCTATGAAAATAATTGATGCATTTTATATAACTTGAGAATACTTCTTAAAAAATTTTTTTTCATTAAAGTATAGTTGATACACCGTGTTCTAGATTTAGGTGTACAACACTAGTGATTCAGCATCTCTATTCGTTATGCTATGCTCACCACAAGGGTAGCTGTCATCTGTCACCATACATTGCTATGCAATATCATTGATTATATTCCCTATGTCGTACCTTTTGTTCCCATGACCTATTCATTTCATAACTGGAAGCCTGTATCTCCTCCCCTTCACCTATTTTGCCCATCTCTCCACCCCCCCCTTCCCTCTGAGCAGAATATTTTTTAATTAAAATATTGTGTAAGGTATTGGCAGCAACATTACTCCTCTATTTTTCAGATGTGGGAAGGGTCTAAGAGAAAATAAGTAATTTGCAATAGTCAGAATAAATACAGCTAGATTTGAATCCAAGTTTCTCTCAATCAGGAACCTAAACATAATGATATACTATACTATTTTGATTTATTGTTACTGCTTTAAATTTTTTAATTTTGAAAATTCAAACATGTTGCAAAATATTATAATGAGCAACACATAGTTTTCCCTTAGCTTTTCCAGTTAACACTTTGCTACATTTGGTTTATTTTTACACACACAAACACATTTTTTGGCTGAATCATTTGAGAGTTAGTTTCAGATTTCATTCATAATAGCACTTAATCCCTAAATACTTGAATTTGAATCTCCTAAGAACAAGAAATATCCTAAGTAACTATATTGTGCACTGATCACATGCAAGAAATTGCAGGATCCAGTAAGAATCATATATTACATTTATTTGTCCTGTCACCCAGCCTTACCCAGCCTTTATTTGTTTGTCATGCCATTGATATTTTTGAAGAGTTCATACCAGTTGTTTTGCAGTACAATATTATTTTAAACTGCATTTAGTACATACGTAAATTGAGATTTAGCTGCCTTTTTAGATCAGATTTAAATGATACTGTGTTTTATATTGAGGTAAGTCATTGATTTTTTTATCTATCAGTGTTTAGAGACATTATTTTAGTGGGTGCTTGTTAACATTGCACACTGTCAGCAAAATCTCACAAAATACCTATTGGGGAAGAAGACCTATGTGAACTGATAAACTTTGAATTAAAGTTTAGTAAGCAGTTTTACTCAGAATTACATGTAGTAAAGTAGCTAGAAGCAAAAAGCATTGTCAAGATGTTTTCCAGAAGAATTAATATTTAATAAAAATCACTCAGTGTGTAATTAATATTTTGTATGTTGCTTTTAAATGTTTAAATAGTGCTTACTTTTAAGTGGTTGTTTTGGCTTTTTTATTTAAATGACTTACACTGTTGAGTAAACTGTTCCTTTATAGTATGAAAATTTTAGCCAAGCTTAAACTTGTACATTTTGCTTTGATGACTGTGAGTAATGAGGTTTCCTTTCATTTTGATTTTTGATTTTCATGATGCAGTTCAAAGGAATGTTCATATGTCTCTTCAGTCTGAGGGGATATCCCTTAAAAGTATAATTCTTGAGATCAAAAGTATAAATAGAAGCACAATTCAGGTTCTTTAGACAAATATGCTAATTATGCAGTTGCCATTGGGGTATTTATTAAGCATAAATTTTAGATATCTTTCGCTTAATCTGTAATTTTTTAATCTATAATTTCTTATTTATTCCTTTTTAGGTTTATTCATAGTGTTGTTTCTAAAACTTATATCTGTTTTCTTATAATTGATAACAGCCCATTATTCATTTTTAATGTGTATGTTCACTTCTGCTGATTTGTTTTGGCTGATCCATGAGAACCTTATACATCTCTGTATCTTATTATATATGCTTGTTCCATTTTCCAGGAGAAGCAAGAGATAATGAAGTCGAAAACAACTCCCTTGCATATGTTTATTAATGCTATTTGTTGAGTTATTTGATATTTCTAGTATTACCCTAATTTAATGATACCGTAGGAAATCTTTTCCTTCCCTGAAAGTAAGACTATACATCTGCCAGTGTGCTTATTGCAAGTACTTTGCTGTCAACATAACAATTTGTGAAAGTATGGTTTTATGAGGACTGTGATCAAATTCTTTTCTAATTCGTAACAAACTTTGGATATACAGTTGGCCCTTGAACATCATGGGGGCTGGGGTGCTGATCCCCCATGCAGTCAGGAATCTATGTATAACTTTCGACTCCCCCAAAACTTAACTACTGATAGCCTGCTGTTGTCCAGAAACCTTACCGATAACAAACAGTTGATCAACATCTAGTTTGTATGGTATATGTATTATATACTGCATTCTTAAAATTGAGTGAGTCAGAGAAAATAATGTTATAAAGAAACTCATAAGGAAGAGAAAATACATTTATAGTACTGTACTGTGTTTATTGAAAAAATCAGCATGTAAGTGGACCCACACAATTCAAACCTATGTTCAAGGGTCAGTTGTACTGACCATATATGCACTTTAAGAATCCTTTACTAATTAGGTATCATAATAATTGCTTATGAAGGTGGGTGACATGTTTGTCTCAAAATTCATGATTAAAATTCATTGTTTTGATAGACCTTTGAAACTATGTTAAACCTGTGTTTAACAGGAAAATTCAAATCTAACTGAATAGATTTTAAAACCACACTTCATGTTTTTTTCTTTTAGTTCTATAAACATGTGGTACAGAGTGTTGAGAAATTCATTCAGAAAGTAAGTATATAATTTTCAATATATACACTAAATGTACTATAATTATAGATTAATGCCTTGTGCTCTCTTCTTTTAAATCAAATACTCAGGTTTAAATTGTTTTGATGGACTGTTCAAAAGTGATTCCATTTATTTTCTAATTAAGAAATAAGGGTGCCTGAGTCGCTCAGTCGGTTAAGGGTCCAACTCGATCTTAGTTCAGGTCTTGATCTCAGGGTTGTAAGTTCAAGCCCCCTGCACTGGGCTCCACCAGCATGGAGCCTACTTTAAAAAAAAAATTAATGAAATTTTAAAAAATTAAATGATAGTGCTTTTTGGATAATTTTAAAAACAATAACTTTCATTTAGGTAGATGTTCTTTTAATTTGCAGTGCCATAGTGAGCATTTGTCCCTTGAAAAAAATGGTGTACATATGATTGATTTTAAATAAAATTATAAATATGTTAATTCTCACTTGTCATTTCAAGCAGAATGCCTAGAGAGCAGCTCTTCTTTTAGATAAGGTGTGGATAAGACATTACCTACCACCTACTTCACTGTTGCTGATTCATTTTGTCTCATCCATTAAGACATTATACATCTCAACCTCTTATTTTATAGACCTGAAATTCCATTTTCTAGGGTAAGCAGAGGGTGATGAAGTTGAAAACAGCTGTCTTATACACATTTAGTAATGCTTTTTATAAGCAGAGTCCAAGGTGACCAAATTATAGTTTTTTGCCCTCTTGGTGATCAGTGTCCTATTCATGCCACGGTTTTTGGCAGGAGTACATAGGGCTTAAAACTTATGAAATGATACTATATTTGTACTTTACTGTAATTGAATTTAGGTTTTGTACTCTGCCCATGTTCATGTGCCTAGATATAACCAGTACCAGTTTGAGAATCAGTGGTATATGGCATTAAGGATTCAGGAAGGTCGCAGTGTTTCTTAAAAATAGTTGACTAGGAGAGGGGTATGTGAACCAAAGTGAGGTGACTGTGTTGTGTAGGTAACCTTGACTACATCAGTTAACCTTTATGCGATTCAGCTTTTTTATAAAGTCTTGGTTTCTTAGAGTATTAGTAAAACATATTTTGAGATGAACAACTAGTGAATTGAGGCTGAGATGCAAAGTAAAGTAAGTATGCTCTGTGTTTTAGGTAAATCACAGTATAAAATAGAAATGTTGGTGATTGGAAAATTTCATTGTTCTAAAGATTTTAAAAGTTGTTTTAAAAAGTTTAGAATGTCTAAAGCAGTGCATCTTAAAAACTTTTTTGTGCATAGGAGTTACCTAGGGATCTTGTTAAAATTCAGATTCTGAATTCACTAAGTGTGGCAAGGGGCTGAGAGTCTGCATTTCTACCTGTTCCTAGATGATACTTTTGCTGTTAGTTCAGAAGCCACAATTTGAATAGTAAGGGTTTAAAGGATAAACATGAATTTATGGGTAAATGTTTTTTGACTGATTTGATTTAGAGCAGGGGTACTTTTAAGATATTTCAGAATCTTAGACCTTAAGTGAGCAAAATTATCTCCACTGTGAGATAATTGTAGAATCCGTCTGGAAAAGCAAGTCAATATTGGGGGAGCGGGGGATGTTGAAGTAAAGAAAAGGGTAGAATTTAATCTCTATTTACAGGACATTGCAAGTTATAACATTCCACATAGAAATAAGAAACCTGTTGAGAGGAGAAACCTCATACAGTATGTACAGTTTGGAACTGTTCAAATATAGTTTCATTATACAAAGTGCTCCAATAGCCACATTTTAAGAAGAATTCCTAGTAGAGAAACAGTAGGACAAACTTATACCAAACATAGTACAAACAGCTTTATGCCCTGCACTCTAAAAGTTAGAAGTCCCAGGAATGCCATCCTCCATTTAGAATGTATAACCTTCAGAGGTAATTTCTGGCACAATATTTTGATCTTTCTCTTAAGAGAAGTACTTCTCAGTCAAGTTTAGTGAAGCTTTGTATACAATTTCTTTTTCATGGTTTTATAGAGCTTCAGTTATTTCCAGCCCTCCACATTCTTCAGTCATTATACTGAGTTTCTAAGTTTTACCTAGTTTCTCCACAGCCTGAAAGACATATGCAGTGCTATCTTTCATAGTTAAGAGGTTCATCAACAATTCTATGTCATAGTGAATGAGGTAAACAGTCTGTTCAACTCTTCCGTCACTTGTACAGTTGGTCACAGCCCAGACAGCTTACTTTTGTATCTTAAAGTCTGCCTTAGAAGGATACCTGGCTGTTTCAGTCAGTAGAGCATGAGACTTTTGATTTTAAAGTCTGACTTAGAACACCAAAGAGGAATGACATTGCCAGTCAGTGTCTGGGCAGAAATTTAAATGCTTTACCTCTACCCTGTTTAAAGCAGAAATTCGGCAGTGGGTTAGTGTAATGGTAAATTGAGTTGTGTGTGTACATTTTAAGCTATTTTGTGATAATTGTAGATTCATCGGTCATTTAATCAATAGATAATAATGATATTTCCATTAGATTATAGTAAAGAGAGATCCCATATACTCTTCACCCAGTTTCCCCCAATGGTAATGTCTTGATAACGTAAGTATTACAACCAGGACGTTCATACAGTCCACCAAATTTAGATTTTACCAGTTTTACATGCACTCATTTGTGTGTATGTATATTTAGTTCTAGGCAATTTAATCATATGTATTGATTCATAAAACCACCACCATAGTCAAGATACAGAATAGTTCCATCACCCCGGGGAGCCATCATGTTCCTTCCCCTTTTTATACTCTTTTTTTATACTTTTTATACCCCTACTCTCCTCCTCCCCCCATTCCTGACTCCTGGGGGGCATTAGTCTGTTCTCTAATTTTGCCATTTCAGGAATGTTACGTAAATGTAGCCTTTTGAAATTGGCTTGTTTTGCTCAGTATCATTTTATTTAGATCCATGCAAATTGTGCATGTGTCTAATGGCTCCTTCATTTTTGAGTAACATTCCATGGTATGGATGTACCACAGTTTGTCCAACTGTTCACCCATTGAAGGTCATCTGAATCATTTCCATTTGGGGGGGCTATTAATAAAGCTGCTAGGAACATTTGTGGATTTTTGTGTGAATATAAGTTTTCATTTCTCTGGGAAAGTAAGTGCATGTTTTGTTTTATAAGAAACTGCTACTCTTTTCTAGAATGGCTGTACCATTTTACATTTCCACCAATGGTGTGTGATTGATTCAGTTTCCACATTCTTGCTATCATTTGGTGTTACCACTATTTTTTATTTTAGCTACTCTGATAAATGTATAGTGGTGTCTCATTGTGGTTTAATTTGCATTTACCTAATGGCTGATCATGTTGAACATATGTTCAAATGCTTACTTGGCATTTTCAGTGAAATATCTCTTCATGTTTTTGTCCATTTTCTAATTGGATAGTTTTTTCACTGTCAGGTTTTCAGAGTTCTGAATAATATTCTAGATATAAGTTCTTTTTAGTTGGTAGTTTGTCCTTTCGTTCTCTTAACACAAGATCCAAGGTCTTGCAGAACAAAGATTTTTTTTTTGGTTTTGATGAGGTTCCAGATTGTATATAATTTTTTTAATACCAGAGGAAACCTTTTTTTTTCTTCTTTCCTATTCTTACTGGAACTTTAATATGGGGGGAAGGGGATACAGATAAAACACAAGTAAAAATGTTGCAGTAATGGTTATGGTAGGGAACCAGAAGCCCACTCCACCTATTTTGTTTTCTGCCCCATAGCCCTGACACCCTTGCATAGATGCTTTGTTTCTGTGGAACCCAATTTGAAAACCACTGAATTAGAGTACTGTTTATAGTAGAAATAGTGTTTCAACAAGTTTATGAAAAAGTCCATTTGTCATGTACATTATATATAGTCAATTGAGAGATCTAAGAAAAATGTGAAGTATTATTTAATGATGTTGACTTGTAATTTTGGGTATCCTCTAGCCCCAGAACACCACATAATTAGCTTGGCTATACTTTTCCTTCACCCATCATAGACAAATAGTGCAAGGAGAGGAGAAATACGGCAGCAGTTTGATAATGTGTTATTTGTGAGTCTTTGTTTAGCATGAAAGATTTATAGAGGAATGAATGATAGTAATAAATGAAAAGATAAATTAATAATAAAAGATGATTTCCCATAGGCCAGGAAAATTGGTTGAAAGGTTACTTTGGCTTCTCGCCTCTGGTGTGGGGTACACAAAGATTTGGGCAGTTGGCCACAGATAGTTTGAAAACAGTAAATTTTCAGATTCTCACTTTCCTTATGTACTTTTTACTGAATTCTGCTCTGGGATATTTTAGATCAGCTCTTCATCCCATACACCTTAAATTTACATCTTAAATATATCTTGAGCTTACCAGTCATTGTTAGTCATTAAGAGAAGCTTTTGCTTATTGTGTTTTATTTAAGAACTCAAAGATGTTTATATAAATGTTTCTTTTTATATGAAATATTTGTACACATATACAGAAAAGTGCAGAAAACTTAATATGCATAGCTAAAGTTTTTAAAGCTATCTGTGTAACTACCACTCAGTGCAAGACATGGAACTTCAACTGAAGTCCCCAGGTACCTCTTCCTGATCATATCCCTCCCTAAGTAACACACAGTCTGACTTTTATGTTAGTCATGTTCTTGTTTGGCATTATAGTATTACTCTTTAAGTCTGAATTCTTAAAGCAATTTAATCTGCTTTTCTGTTTTGCATAAATGGAATCCTATATTATATATTCTTTAGTGTACAGTTATTTTTACTCAGTATTATATGTTTAGGATTCATCCCTGTTGTATATAACAATATTTCTTTTCATTGCTGTATATATTCCATTATGTGAATAACTGCTGCTTATCTATTCTGTTGACAGACATTATGTTTGTATGTTTTCCAGGTTTTGGAGTTATGAACAATACACTGCTGAGAACACACTTTCATATTTATCCTGGTGTGGTTTATATTTTTGTGGAGTGGATTTGCTAGGTAGTAGGATATGCACTTCTTCAACTTGGCTAGATAATGCCAAATTAATTTCATAATGGTTGTACTAATTCATACTCCCACTCTGATTCAGTGTGTGAGTTTGTATTGCTCCCATCTTTACCCACACTTAATACTGTTAGACTTAAATTCTTCTAATTTAATGAGTCTTAGTTTAAGATTCTTTTTAAAAGATACTACCCTCATATCACCTTTACTTAAGGAGTTAAATTTTCAACCAGCATTAAATCTTGTTTGTCAAAATGTGTTTTAGACTCTTAAGGATTCATCAAATAGAATGAATTTCTGTAGTCGAAGAGCAAAATGTCCTTTTATCAAGATAACCAAAAAAAATTAGGTTATTATTAGTTATAAACTATTATTATTTTTCTTCAAATTCAGTATTATCACATCAAGGTTAATCTGAAATATTTTACTAAGCTGTATATTAAATTTGGATTTGTTTAGATTTGTTTCATCAGGAACTGTTCCTTGTCATCTCCCTTCTCCTGTAGTTATTCAATGATACTTTATGTCAGTGAAGTATCAAAGCCCTGTCCATCCCTTGCTTCCTTGTTTGGGGGACCACGGCCCTCTAAGTGTAAAGAGGAAAGGACTTAGTGATTCCCTCTTATCCCTTCCAGCTTAGGTATTGTGGAAATGGAATTTCTGAGGTTCCATACTTTTAGGAAAACCTGAATCATGAGACGTCTCAAAAACGACACAAAAGTAGTATGTTTGCCATCTTAAAAGAAAATACCACTTAGTCTTTCCACTTATTTTGTATCTCTCATTTAAGTTCTATAGTTAAGTGTTACTTCCTTAAATAATATGTAGATCGGTTCAGAGTTAGCAGTGAAGATCTCGTAGGCTCAGTTAAGAGTATTATGTAGGTTTACTTCTTGTTGAACCTTCCTTCCCAGTCTGTATGCCTTTTATTTCCTTTTCTGTTGCATTAGCTAGGACTTCCAGTATGATGTTGAAAAGCAGTGGTGAGAGGGGGCCTCCACTCCTTGTTGTCATCCATACTTAGTTTTGGTGGGAAAACTTTCAGTTTGTCAACAGTGAGTAGGATGTTAGGTTTTCTATGGAGCATGTGCCTCTGCACCATGGACTTAACACATGCGTCTCAGGTTTTCTTAATCCTCCTTAGGCCAGACAGGAGGGCTGTATTTTCCTTACCCCCGGTCAGTGAGACTCTGGTTAAACCCCAGCAGATGAGGCTCTGCTTAAATAGTTTCTCCTGAGGTCATACCTTATTAAGAACAGAATGCTGCTGGCTGTCTCAAAATGGTTCCTTTTCTCTACCTCCTCCCAGAAGCAGGAGAGGATTTTTCTCCAGTATTCGCTTTGAGAACTCCTGTAGGGTCAGGTATGACAGTGTCCTGGGAACAGCCCTTCCTTAAATGCTATTGTCAGTATCATTCAGTGCTTTGCAAGTACAAACCATTCCAGCTTTGCTTCCTTTAATGTTAACTTTTATTTTCTTATTTTTTGAGTGAGAGAGAGAACAAGCACTCGAGAGTGCACGAGCAGGGTGAGGGGCAGAAGGAGAGGGAGAAAGAGAATCTTAAGCAGGCTCCATGCCCAGCGCTGAGCCCCCTGGAGCCCTGTCTCACCACCCTGAGATCATGACCTGAGCTGAAATCAAGAGTTGGACACCCAACTAACCGAGCCACCCAGGTGTCCCTAATGTTAACTTTTAGAGCTGAAAGTGGTAGCACAAATTCTAATAATAGAATAATTATATAAGGTGTGTTTATATATTGCAAAGTATGTGGTCCAAGTCACCTAGAGAGTTTTTTTGCCAAAAAACTGTGACTTCTAATGGTATCCACATAACAGCTTGAATAACATTAGAACGAAAATCATGTGATATGTTTAAAGGTGCATTCTCCCTATATTAATGCCTTTCTCTCTCCTATTTCTGCAGCAGAAGAAATTGGAAATTACTAGAATGTAGTTTGAAGATGATATAACTGAAAACTTAATATGACATGACTTTATTACCATTATTAGTTACAGAGTAGAAATTCCTCATACCAGTGGAAAGTCTTAGGAGTTCTTGTGTTTTCAGTACTGATAGAACTTGAAGAGGAAATTGAAAAAACATTTCAGGTTTTTGGTTGTAATGTTTCCTCAGGTTGCTAGTTGGTGACTTAGCTAAGTTTACCAATTATTATTAAGTTATTTTAAAACATTAAGTCATGGGCGCCTGGGTGGCTCAGTCGTTAAGCGTCTGCCTTCGGCTCAGGTCATGGTCCCAGGGTCCTGGGATCGAGTCCCGCATCGGGCTCCCTGCTCCAAGGGAAGCCTGCTTCTCCCTCTCCCACTCCCCCTGCTTGTGTTCCTGCTCTCGCTGTCTCTGTCTTTGTCAAATAAATAAATAAAATCTTTAAAAACAAAACAAAACAAAACAAAACATTAAGTCATACTTAAGGGGTTTTTGGGGGGTTTTTTTTTTTTTTTTTTGCCATTTTTGTGGCGAAAATGCCTAATCTACAAGTGAGGGAAAATCTGTTCTACAACATCTTAATGGTATATATAAAGATACTGTGGATGAAGAAATGTTTTTTCCTTAGGCCTTATAGTTTACCTCTAAACTGCTAATATATGTTTGAAGCTTTGGGATCTTACAGTAGGCCCCAAAGATCCATTTATTATCCTGTGCACTCATGATTCTTCTGTGTTGTGAGTCTGTAACCTGTTATAAATCAGCAAAAAAGATGTATTTTTTTTATATTTAGTACATTCATTACTTAACCATTCAGTGTTAATTTTTTAAAAGATTTATTTGAGAGAGAGAAAGCACAAGTGGGGGGAGGGGCAGGGGTCTCAAGCAGACTCCCTGCTGAGTGCAGAACCTGACACGGGCTCGATCTCAGGACCCTGAGATCACAGCCTGAGCTGAAATCAAGAGTTGGACATTTAAGGGCGCCTGGGTGGCTCAGATGGTTAAGCGTCTGCCTTCGGCTCAGGTCATGATCCCAGGGTCCTGGGATCGAGTCCCGCATCAGGCTCCCTGCTTAGCGGGAAGCCTGCTTCTCCCTCTGCTTCTCTCTCTCTCTCTCTGTCTCTCATGAATAAATAAATAAAATCTTAAAAAAAAAGAGTTGGACATTTAATCGACTGTGCCACCCAAGCACCTCTCAGTATTAATTTTTAAAGCTCTTACAAGCAACTTAGAAATTCTGTTCAGTCTCACTGTCAAGATAATCATTTATATGAAATAATGTATATCAGATTTTTTTGTGTTTAGCAAAATTAAGATGCCAGTAAATCAAGTTAATCAGTAATTATTAATCACTTATCTGTGTGGCATTAGGGAATAGATAAATTTTAACAAAGTGGATGTCCTGCTTTTCATTAAATTTTAAGTTTTCTTTATTGAGATTATTTGCTCAGCTAGGTTGATACTTCTTTGAATGTATGGTAGTCAAAGGAAAATAGCCTTGGCCAGATACATGAACTGAAGGATGAATATGCTGAATGTTTTGGGAACATGAGGGAAAACTATTTCAGTTTTTCAAAAACCATAACTTTCAACAGAGCAGATGTTTTTAACCTTTACGTAGGTTAAACTTAAAACTTCAGAATCCAAACACCAACGTTATTGCCCTCTTATGTCTTAACAGTCAGAATGTTGCAATAGATACTTGTGAATTAATAATAAAGGTCTCTTCATTTTCTTGACTAAGTAAGAATCTAAGGATAAGATTCTTAAAAAGTATTTGAGGGAACAGATGAAGCATCATAGATGAAGCATCATCTTGTATTTTTGCAGAATGAAATCACTCATTGTCTCAGCTGAAAATGCCATTAGAAACAAGTATGTGTGTGTTAGGGGTGGATTGAGGATCCTTTTCTCACTGGTACTTGGGTTTCCAAGGATTTTTCAAGAATGTAATTTATGTGCCATATGTGATTTCCAGGAAATTATTTTGGGTGAGATACCTAATTACACCCAAAAATTGAAGCTGCTTTTTGCAGCCATAATTCCATGTTAATTAATATAAGCTTGGAAAGCAGGTTTTCTTATGCTTCTGGATACGGTGACAAACCAGGAGTAGTTACCTTGATACTAAAAGGATTCTTCATTGTGCTCACCTAACCAGAAGAAAAGCTTGTGGCAAGAAAGTAGGAGACATTTTCCTCAATTTGGGTGGTGGATAAGAAGGTTGAGAACCTTTATCAGTGGAGTAGCTAAAAAATAGGATAGATTACTGGAATCATAATGGTTGTGTCTTATCTTTCTTATAGGTGTGGTATTTGAGAAAACTTTTGAAACTTTGGGCTCCGTGTATTTAGAATGTTAAATATAGTGTTCCTTCATTAGTTCAGAAACCCTTTTGTTATATGGATTTCAGATGAAGTCTAATGTATGTTGGCAATACATTCTCTAGAGCTCTTTCCTGAATTTGCTGCTTCCTTCCATGTGGCTTTTCAAAGTCATTAAACAAAAAAATTTTTTTGTTACAACAGTACCTTATTTATCCTTTTGGCTTTTGCCATTCAAGCCAGTTATGCAGTACTGTTTTGGAACTTATGTGATTGGCAGTTGAACTGGGTGAATGGAGTAGCCAGTGTAGATTAAAATGCCATTCCAGAGACAGATGGTGTGGAATAGTCAATGTCTGAACATTCATTACGTCTACATAAGCGTTGTTTTTGTATTTGTAGAGGATTTATAATGAATGCTACCTTCTCATTCCTTCCCTTCCTCTTCTTTTTTCCATCAGTGTAAACCAGAATACAAGGTACCTGGACTTTATGTTATTGACTCCATTGTACGACAATCTCGACATCAGTTTGGTCAAGAAAAGGATGTGTTTGCACCCAGATTTAGTAATAACATCATTAGCACTTTCCAGAATTTATATCGTTGCCCTGGGGATGACAAGGTATGCTGCCTTTTTTTTTTTTTTAATTAACATACAATGTATTATTTGTTTCAGGGGTACAGGTCTGTGATTCATCAGTCTTAGCAGAGAAAGACAAGTATCATATGATCTTACTGATACGAGGAATTTTTTTTTAAGTCGATACATTACCCTTTGGTCTAATGAGACTCTAGTTTATCTTAACTATGATTTTATGTTACCCTTTACTCCTAGTAATTCTGAATTTGAATATTTAGTTATTACACTCTCCACATTCTGAGATTCTTAGCATCTTAAACAAAAGTGGAGAGATGTAGTTGATTTGGCTATTTTTTAACTTATTGAAGCAATTGGTGTTAAAGAAACTGGCTATAATAAGCTTTTGGAATTACACTGAAAGCTTATTTATTCTCACACACAACTAATTTAATGTTTTGATTATTTGACCTGAACTGATATTTACCTATTTAGTGTCTATGAAAATGGATTTGCTAAGCAGTTAATAGAAAATAACCGCATTTTAAAATTCTTTTATTTTGGTAAAGTTTTATTAGTACTGGAAACCACACTACTAAGTCTTCTAGATCTGAATGAATAAATATTTTGTACCACATAAAAAGAAGGCTTTGGACCCTGAGAGAGAGTAAAAAGGGGTTCTTTATATGTGCTCAGAGGTATTAGAAGTTTACATATTTTGTGATACTGATTTGGAAATTTAGATTACTCTTCTGATAGGGTTGGTTGCAATATTAAATTTTTAAAAGGTCATGTTAGATAAAGACTTTGTCTTAAAGTTTATTTGCTTAAAAGGTGAAGTCAAAATCACCTGTAAATACAGCTTTGGTGCTGAGATAAATCCTGATCACCTCAACAGTGTTAATACAGTCTCCAGGCAACCGTAACCATCGATCTCATTAGACTTCACATAGAAGCTGAAACTGAGTTGTCATTCCTGCCTTCTACTAAATGTAGCTTTAATTTACCTTGTACATCTGTCAAAATGAACTTTTTTTTAAGTGTGTTAAGATTAGCAAATCAAAATTATAGAAACATGATTTCAGGGGCGGAAAGTACTACAGAAGTATTTTAATCCATCCTTCCCATCCACTGTTCGAATAGTCTCTGAAATGACTGTGCTAAGTTTTGAAAGCAGAAAATCAAAATGTCATTTTTCTTTTTTCCTCCAGAGTAAAATAGTGAGAGTATTAAATTTATGGCAGAAGAATAATGTGTTTAAGAGTGAGATTATTCAGCCTCTTTTGGATATGGCAGCAGGGATTCCTCCCCCAGTTGTCACACCTGTTTTGGCCAGTACTACTGCTGCTATGAGCAACACCCCAGGTATGTTACCTTGATAGAGATTTGTTTTCTAAATATTCTACTTTTTTTTTTTCCAGGTGATTATTCATTTGTAAAGTAACAATTTAACAGTGCAAGAGAACTTATCTAGCATTAAGTAATTGAAATGAAATGTAATTTGAAGGAAAAATAGACTCAGAATTTATATTTGTGTGTAATTCTTTTCTAAAAATTAAAAATCTGAACTTTTTAAATCCCTGGAAGCATAAATACAGTGGACTTTGGGAAATTGTTTTGTCACTTAAGTTTTTTCCTGGTGTAGGCTGTCCATAAATTTGCATGTAAATCAACTTGTAGTATAGTAGGGGAACTTAATATTTATAAGGAACCCTGAAAAAATTATCTAATGAAGCCAAGAATGCTTTAGTAATAATCTCAGAATCTTGTTCTAGAAGTATATTTAAAAGACTTAAAATTTCTTTTCATAGTTGAGGAATTTACATTTGGTATGTATTTAGTTTTTGTTGTGTGTGTCTGTGTCTGTACATATACACATCCATTTTCAAACAAAAATAGTTTTATATTGAACATACTGTTTTATAATTTTTCAATTATATTTTGAATATTTCCTCATGTCACTGAATTTTCTTCTGTAATAAGATTTATAATGATTTCTAAGTAGTGTAGGCTTCTTTAAAGTAGTAGCTTAATGAGGACAAGTATGGACAGATCCTTTTGGTATTTTTTTTTTTCAGTCTACCTAATTCTGTAATTAGACAATAAAATAAAAACATTTAAGTGTACATATTTTATAAAAGTGACAAAGCATATCTCTCTACCTTTCCAAGTCTTATTTATTTACTTACGTGTTTATTTGGGTGGGTGTGATGTCTTTTTTTTAAAAGGAACTCCTGTGACACCTGTTACTCCAGCCAATGTGGTCCAAGGTCTACCGGATCCGTGGGTATCTCAGATAACAAACACAGATACACTTGCAGCAGTAGCTCAAATCTTACAAAGTCCTCAAGGCCAACAGGTGAGCAGTTTTTTTGTTAAATCAACAATGATTTAGAACTCATTATTCTCCTAATGTATTATTTTATAATGTACCACCTAAAGAGTAGGAGTTATTTCTGTAAAAATGAGATCACACTATAGATACTACTCTGTAACTTGCTTGCTTTTTCATTTAGTAAGGCATCGTTTTATGCACTGTTTTATACCAAAATACTGACTTAGCACATAGTTTGTGCGAAACATTATTAAGTGCTATTGTTACTCCAATAACAAGACTAGGGATGTCTGCTCTGTTAGGAAAGATGTCTTTCTATGTTAGGGGAGACAAATAATAAAAAGTATAAAACTTTATTTAGATAGTGATACATGACTTAAAACAGGATAAATTTTTAGAGTGACTGGGTTTGGGGTCAGAATTAGAGAGGGTCGCCCAGAGAAGGTGTTTTTGAGGAAGTGCCATTTGAAGTGAAACTAGAAATGGAGCTACTCATGGTAGGGTTTGAGGATAGCCCATTCTTCGCATCTCCTTTTCTTACCTGTCCTTTAAAACACAAATTAATTGTGATCTGTGCAATAAGTCCCCTACTCCCCCCAAACTCTTTCTCCAAATATTCATGAGGTTTTAGCCACCTGTGAGTTTTTGTTTAAATGTCACTTCAGTAAGGCCTTCAAAAAGTGATTTAAAACAGTGCATTCTTTCATCCCCTGTGCTCCTTTTTCCTATCACCTACTTTCTTTCTATTACATTATATAATTGATTAGTTTATTTATTCTCTCTTTCCACCAGAATGTATGCTCTACAAGGATGAGAATATTTTTCATCTGTTTTGTTCACTGCTGTGTCTCCTGTGTTTAGGCTGTAGCAGATGTTTGGTACATTTTTGTAGAATGAATGAATAGTATATGGAGGCATAACAGTATTGGGTATGCAAGGATCTTTCAGAGTTGAGATGTCTGGAGGGTCAGATGGCCTGTGCATGTAAGTTAATGATGACACAGCTAAGTGTGGACCTGGTTTCAAAAGACGAATGGTGGGCTGAAAAAGAGTTCATATGCTAAACAGTGGGGAATTTTTTCATGTTGAAGTCACTGATCTGAATAGTACTTTAGTGGATGGGAGAGGCGAGAAGCCTAGAGCTAGGAAGTATCTTCATTTTGGTAACAATGATAAAAGAAGGGAAGTAATAAATATGTGAAAATAGTAGGGTTGCAGACTCTCTAAAAGGACAATCTCTGCCCCCCCCCCCCCCCCCCAAAAAAAGGACCATTCTAGAGTTTTAAACATGTAAAACCCAATTCAGTTATAGTCTTAGATTAGATCCAGTTTCTCCATTTTGGGGAACAATTGGGAAACTGAATTGGATATTAGATAAAATTATCAGATTACTAATTTTATCTTGTGATAATGATATTTTGAAAATAATTCATAAAGCAAATGTTTTCATTTTAAAAGATACTTATTAAAATAAGTACTTGTGGCAGGAGAAGTGATTTTTCTAGAAGAAATAGTGTGAAGAGAGTTAAGAAGACATAGTAATTGATAGAATATTAAGTCAAGAGTAGAAGGAAAAGTAGGATGCTGCACTGGTTGAACCTGACTGAAACAGTAACAGTGCTGTCTGGAAACATACAGATATCAAAAGGAGTAGTTAAAATGTGTAAAGGAGAAAATATGGTATTAACCCCTTTCTCTCTTTTCCCCTCTGCCCCTTCTTCCTCTCCCTCCCTTTTTTCCTCCTTTTCCCCCTCCCTCCATCCTGTCTGTTCTGGAGCTTCCTCAGTGCAATAACTAGGCTATCATATATTTTGGTATAATTTTCTTCGCTATCACATTAGTAGTTTGTAGTTACTGTTTATTTGATAGCCAAATGATTCTAGTTTGTTTCTTAATGTAGCTGTTTTAGATAGGCATGAAATTACTTTCATCTTGGATGGCTTTTGTACCTTCTCCCACTATAAGTTGATCTTCACTTAAACAGTACACATGTCTTGTTTCTATTCTAAATTGATAATATTCAGATTCAACTCAGAACTTGATTAGGAAAGTATTAATTACTTCTAAGATGTACATAAACATAGGGTTTACTTAACTCTGCAGTATCTTCAGGATCTTATTGTTGTTTCTGCCTTTTTTTTTTTTTAAGATTTTTTTTTTTAATTTATTTATTTGACAGAGAGATAGCACAAGTAGGCAGAGCGGCAGGGAGAGGGAGAAGCAGGCTCTCTGCCGAGCAGGGAGCCCGATGCGGGGCTCGATCCCAGGACCCCGGGATCATGACCTGAGCCGAAGGCAGCCGCTTAACCGACTGAGCCACCCAGGCGCCCCTGTTTCTGCTTTTTAAGAGGATGGATGAATAGAGGGAGTAGGGATTTGACTTCAACTCTTGTTGGCACTATTCACCTTTAATTTCCTTAGTTTCAGACTGCTCCAAGAGACAAATTTCTTATTTGCTTTCCTACTTCCAGGAAATGTGTTATCTGATGGTAAATCTGAAAGATAGCAAAAGCAGTTGTTGTCAGTGCTTGTTTTTTTTTTTTTTTTACGGAGATTAAAGAGTTAATTGAAGAAGGAATGAAAAGCTTAGTGAAGGGGCACCTGGGTGGCTCAGTCAGTTGAGCTTCCAACTCTTGATTTTGGCTCAGGGTCGTGGGATCAAGCCCCATGTGGAACCCCCCCTTCAGGAGCCCCGCTTCAGGTTCCACGCTCAGTGTGCATCCTGCTTGGGATTCTCTCTCCTTCTGCCCCACTCCCTGCTCGCACCCGCATGCTCTAAATAAATAAAGAAATAAGTAAGTAAATAAGTAAATAAAATTTTTAAAAGAAAAGCTTAGTGAAAAAAATCAGTCTGTATGTGATGAGTTCTTTATCTGTCATGGTATGACCACTTTATTTGGCTTAAAGTTCTCTGGCTTTCCAGAAGCAGAACAGATTTATTAAGGACTGTTATATATGGCACACACAACAAAATATGTATTTTTAAAATTTCCTTGTTTTGAGTTAGTATCTATTTTCTCTTGATCTCCAACAATGAATCTTACTGACTAAAAGATGGGCATTCTTACAGATAAAACCCAGCATCTCTTCGTAATAATTTTCCTTTTTTCCCCTCCAGCTTCAGCAGTTAATACAGACTTTACAACTACAACAGCAGAAGCCTCAGCCTTCTATCCTGCAGGCCCTGGACGCTGGTCTCGTTGTGCAGTTGCAAGCTCTCACAGCACAGCTCACGGCTGCAGCTGCCGCAGCCAACACCCTGAACCCCTTGGAACAGGGAGTGGCTTTCAACAAGGTAGAAATTAAGTTAGCAGATTTGTTTTATAAGAAGTATTAAAGTCTATATGCTGTCATGTGGATTCTAATTCTGTAAATTATATTTTATTATAGAACTATTATTTACAATATGCAGTGTACTATGTAATATATTATGAATTTTACTAAAGGTTTACAGATTCCTGAAGAAACTTAAGTAACTTTAAAATTCCACTTGAAACATTTAGATTCTCTTAACTAAATAACTCGTCAGTAAAATTGTATATTCACCATTGAGGCAAATACAATTTTCTCAATTTTCTCATTTCTTTTATGGATGTTAACAAATACTTGATGTTCTGTGTTCTAAAATTTTAACCTGCTAAAATTATAATTGTTCAAAATGTGAAAGTTCACAGGAAAACTTCTCTAGAGTTGTCATTATACTGTAATATTATGATAAATTGAGGCCTAAGTATAAAGGATAGTGGTTTTAAAGTTGAAAATCTTTCATGTATAATTTATTGTGTGATCACCTTAATGTTCTTATTAATTATGAGAATATTAAAATACCTTGGAAGTGTTATCCATATTATTTTTGTTTCTGCTACTATATTTTTTTAGGAAAATAAATACTGGTATATTATATTACTTTAGACTTTTTTAGCTATCAGCTTAATTTAGTCTGAAAATGTAATAGCTAAACCACATAGGGGACACCTGGGTGACTCAGTTAAGCGTCCAACTCTTGATCTCAGCTCAGGTCTTGATCTCAGGATCATGAGTTCAAGCCTTGCATTGGACTCCCTGCTGGGCATGGAGCCTACTTAAAAAAAAAAAAAAAAAATAGCTAACCCACATAAAAAACCTTTAAATTGGTCATTTGGGAGACAATAGAGCAGCCTAAGAAGAGAAGTGTACTAGGAATAGACCATTGATTATAGTCCTAGATGTTTTTTAATCAAGCTTTATTACTACCGGCAAGCCACAGTAATTATTTTAAATCCCAGTCTTCTCTTCTATAGAGCATTAGTGTTTCTCCTGTGATTTGTTTTGTTATATAAAGCAGTGTATGTCAAAAGTACTTTAAAATATTCACTCAAATTAAATGCTTTATTATAGAATAACAAAATTATGTAAAAACATTTATGTATTAATGTGATAGAGGTAAATTGGATGTCATTGACATTCAGAATAGCATTTGTACCTTATTTTTGTGTGAATCACCTTTTAATTTGTCTTTTTCTCCTTTTTTTTCCTTCCCTACTTAGAAGTTGATGGATAGGTTTGATTTTGGGGAAGATTCTGAGCATAGTGAAGAACCCAAAAAGGAAATTTCAGCTTCTCAACTGTAAGAATTGTTGTTTTTCTTTATAACCATAAGTTTTCCCCATTATTATTATAAACATTGGATGGGACATTGCCTTCTGAACTGCCAGGTATACTTTGAATATGTTGGGATATAATTTCAGGCTCTTGAGTTCTAACATTACAGAAAGATGCTAGAGTCGCTGTCTTGTTGCCTCCCTATTTATTTTGGCTCCTTTCTCAGATCTTTGCAAATATTTGGGATATATCAAAATTCTTTATAGGAGAATTGATAGATGTGATATAGTTGTGATATTTTCTATGTCTGTATTAGGCATTATTTTATTCAATTGTAAGAATATTTGAAATAATAGGAAACAAGCTTGCTTCTAGTGTCAGTGGCCACACTTCAAGGAATTCTGCCAAATTCTGGGAGTATATCTGACTCATCAGAAGTAAAGATTGGGATTATAGGGATTTTGTTTTTTTTAAGATATGGATTGTACATTTTTATTTAGATTAGTGATTTTCTTGTCTCAAGCAGTTCTGTGCAGCTCTAGGTTCTTAATAGGTTTGAGAAAGGACCAGTGGGGAAGAGGATGTTGGAGAGTTGGGGCGTGGAGGATGGGAGGATGGAGGATGGTGAATGGAGGGAATGCCTCTGGGAATCTTATTTCAAACAGAGTTTATTAATTTTATATATTGGGATAATCTCTTAAAATACATTTATATAATACATAAAAATACATATATCTTTTTGGTAAAGAGATTTTACTTGAAAAATTAAAATCTAATATTTCAGATTATGAATTATACAATTAGAGGAGAAACATTTGAGATCTAGTAGATCAATGTCCTGAACAATTTAAGAATCTTTAATGGTTCTGATAGGATATTTTTATAATGTTTTAATGCTTTCTATGATGAGAAGTTAAATAATCTTTATTACTGAATCCTGTTTGATTTACTTTATACACACTGATCCGTTTTGCATTCTGAAGCAAGGAAACAAATTTGCTCCATTATCTTTTGAGACATAGCCTTTCAATATTTGAAGTTAGGTATCATTCTTCCCCTTAGGTTTATTTGCTCCAGATGAAGTACACTTTTTTTCAACTGTTTCAAGACTTCTCACCATCCTGATTGCCCCTTTTGGGATGCCCTCTTTTTTGTTCATGTCTTACCTTGTGGCACCCAGAATTCCAGGTGTATTCCAGGTGTGAATTTCCCAGAGTATAGTTAAATTATTATTTCCTCTTATCTAAGTACTGTTTCTGTTAACATACCTAATAATGTGAATGCTTTTCTAAAGAAAGCAGATTAGTTTTGTAAAGTTTATGGTCAATTACAATTGTAGATTTCACATGTACTGATTGATAGACCATTTCTCCCGCTATCTTATAGTTAGAGAAGGAGTTAAAGTGACAATGTTTAAATACTTTTAACTGTTTTTATATGTTTCATTGAAATTTTCTTAAAGTACTCTAATGTAAAAAATACTAATTTATATGTATTTAATAGTGTGAGATCATAATAACAGATCTTCCATCAAAGTATCTTTAACATGTTATCCATCTATTGAAAGACTGTTGGAGAGTATCTTTCTATTTTAACATATTAATGTTCTGAGGTATTCCATTTTCTGTTAATATTTCAAAAGTAAACATTGTAGTAGAGTATGTTTCATTTAATTGGCATGGGGGAGGTTGAAAAATCAGTTATTTTTGTATTTTCACTGGGTTTTAAAATGTTTCTACTTGTTTTTCCTTCTAGTTCTCATGTTTCAGAATCTGTGAACAATTCCATTTTTCATCAGATAGCTGAACAGCTACAGCAGCAAAACCTTGAACATCTCAGACAGCAACTCCTAGAACAGCAACAGCCTCAAAAGGTTTATAACTCCATCTTGTGGTCTTTAGAGTTACTGCTATCTACATTTATAAAGTGGTGTTTCTCAAGCATGGTGATTTTTCTTCAGTTTTATTGCTAGGAAGATCAGCCTTTTCAGAACGTTTATAGTCTTTTCTGTTATCAGAATGTGTTCTAGATATATACATGTGCTTGGTATACAAGCAGTGGAGAACAGAAGCCAGAGGTGGTGTTTCAGTATTACAACTTAAAACTTCATGTGCTTTTCTCCACCCAGTTCCCTATCAAGCAAGGTCATGATGATTTTGCTTTGGTTGATCGTGATCAACAAAATAGATTGCTGCCTTTAATTAGGCTATTACTGTGTGGCAGGAAGTTTATGAGGCATGATTACATTTAATGCTATGAGATAGCATTTTGACTTCCATTGTACCTTAGTGAAATTAAACATCCATTGCAAAACTATATAGTAATATCATGTATCATTAGTTTTGAGACACCATTATTTTATGTACAGCTAAGAATTTTTAATCACTTCAAAAGTACAACATCCTATGGAATTAAAAGAACCTTAATAAATTACAGGGATGATAATATGTGAAGAAGGATCATACCTTAGAACTGATAAAATATGTCAAGTTGCAAAGGCAGGGTTAATCCATTACAAAGCCTGTTTTTGCTCCATGTGAGAAACACTTATAGATATAAACTGTTTAGAATATGAGTGTTTTTAAATTCCCCCCAATCACACTTCTTCCTAATAGCAAAACTTTTTGGCACTAAAATAATACTACAAACGTTTTTGAAGTATGAGCAATGTGTTGTTAGACAAATGATATATATGCAGAGATGAACAAAAAAGCATCTGGCCTCAAGTAATCTCTCCTCTAATGGAACATGTACATCTGTATGAACATAGGGCAGGATTCTAGGTTCTGTAATAGAGGTACAGGTGAAGGACAGTTGGAAATAAAGAAGAGAGAAGAGTTACTTTAGTTTAAAGGGATAACAAATCTTGGACACTGCTGGGGTCTGAACTTGTCCTTTTAAATCAAATAGTAAACATAAAATGGATATTAATGGTATTTGCTAGGTTGGAACGTATACCTGGAATTATGAGAATGGAATTCTAGACCTTGTTTTGAAGGAATAATTCTGATAGAAGTGGTTGGAGTAGGTGTAGTATTCTATGTCAGGCAGATATATCTGCCTGAGAATTCAGGAACTTTAAAGATAGAGCACAGTGTAGAACATTTGGATGTTGTTTAAAGAAGAACACAAGTTGTAAATCAATGAAAAGAAACAGGTTGTCAGTAATGTAATAAAAAAGGTCACAGAGCTGTTACAAAGGCAAGGGGCAGTCGTGATGGAAAAGTTTATCCAAACAGCAGATTGTCCGTCTATAAATATAGTTTTGATTGTCTTAGTTCCAGTTTCCTTTCAGAAGGTTCAGAAGGAGCAGTAAAATCAAGGTAGTACTCTTAAAATTAACACCAAATTATTGAAGTGAAAATTCCTAGAAACTTGAGAGAACGCTATTCTTTTTCTTCTCTTTTAAAGTTATTTAAATTAGCCAACATATAGTACATCATTAGTTTCAGATGCAGAGTTCAGTAATTCATCAGTTACATACAACACCCAGTGCTCATCACATCACGTGCCCTCCTTAATGCCTGTCACCCAGTTACCCCATCCCCCCACCCACCTCCCCTCCAGCAGCCCTCAGTTTCTTTCCCATAATTGAGTCTCTCGTGGTTTGTTTCCCTGTCTGATTTCTTCCCATTCCGTTTTCCAGGGTTATTCTGTCTTAAGAATCTCACCAACCAAAAGAAAAATAGAGCTCTGGGCTTAGTTAATACATTATCTCCAGAATTTTAAAGGATACAGTAATTAGATCCTTTTGAAAGAATTAGATATTGTTAAAAGCTTTTGTTGTTCAGAAATGAGTGTTGAAGAAAGGGAGTGGTGAAAGAAAAGCAACTTTTCTAATACATCGGGTAGATGTGTTCAAAACCTATGACAAATTTCAAATTGGAAAGTATATCAGCAGGGTAACCATTAAATTTAATAAATTGTGTAATTGGCTCTACGAAACCAGTTGCTTTCATATGATGAAGATAGGCTGAAATATGCAGAAAAATGAAGCATTTTGTTTCCCAGTAAGCTCATTATGGCCACCTAAAAGTTCTTACGCTGTCTTAGAGAAAGGAAACGGATTTCTGGTGCTACCCTACTCATTACAGTCCTGACCACACCTGCATGTGAGTTCATATCTAGTATCCCTAACAATAGAAAACCACTGAAAACAGAGCACTTCCAAGAAGTGGCTGAATTGTGAAGGGAGTAATAGTCATGTTGGATGGAGAATGATTGCCGTTGTCTGAAGTAAGTTCTAGTTCATGATAGTGGTGATTGTTTTATCAGGATATTCAAAAGATGTCAGGAAAGCTATAGCTCAAGATGAAATACTGATAATAAAAATGGTAAGACTGATAAAAAGGGCTTTTAAAAGAATGTTAGGAATACAAAGGTTATGGAAGATTCAGCCACTTAATAATGAGGAGCTATCATATGTAACTTACTTTGATTCAGTTTTTTTTTATATAGGAAAATATAATGGAAAGAGTAGAATTGAACATGATAAAGCCTAAGATAGGTGATAATATTAAGAGCCCTGAGTTGCTTTAAGTGATTTGATGTCTCAGCTCACATCAATTGCATTTCATGGTACTGCAATTGTAGGATTATAGCATAGCATGTGTGGATTTCAGTAAGGCTTTTGACAAAGTCTTTCCTGTCACTTACACAGAAAAAAGTGGAGGAACATGGATCTATAACTGATCAAAATGTGACAGTGTGTTAATCCAGCTTCAAAAGAAGTATCTGCTAGTTGCTGTTATCCTTGTCTTCTATTTTTTCAGTATTGATGCTTTACATGAGGACATCACTGAAGAAACTAGAGGTGTATACCAGAATGTATACTAAGGATGTATACCAGTATATCAAAAAAGCAGTCATTTGCCACCTGGGCCCAGTGGATCCTTTTAAAATATATTTGAAGTCCTCTCACAGATAGTTTAGAGAAGTGAAACTAAAAGGGATAGGGGAAAATATTTTATGAGCAATTTTAATATAACAATTGAAATGTAGCAAACCTTTTTGTCAATTAAATTCAAATATCGCATGTTTTGTTTTTTTTTTTAAGATTTTATTTATTTATTTGACAGAGAGACAGCGAGAGCAGGAACACAAGCAGGGGGAGTGGGAGAGGGAGAAGCAGGCTTCCCGCGGAGCAGAGAGCCCGATGTAGGGCTCGATCCCAGGACCCTGGGACCATGACCTGAGCCAAAGGCAGACGCTTAACGACTGAGCCACCCAGGCACCCCAAATATCGCATGTTCTTTTAGCAAAATAGAACAGTCTAGGTTCTTGTTGCAAAATACTGTAAGATAAATATTAACTGAATAAGTGGATGAAAAGACCCTCTTTTTGTCCTTAGAGACACATTTTTCTGCCATCAGTTTTGGAGTTTGAGAAATACATTTAGGATATGGTCATCTGAAAACTCAGTCTGATATTTCACTTAGATATTAAACTTCAACATCATTAGAGTCTAGAATGATGCTCTTTCTTTGTATTCATGTTCTGTTTTGTTTAATAATTATGAAATATGTTCCTGTCAGTTTTCTTCTCTTTGCCGTTATGTACAGAAATGAAAAAATCTAAATATTCAGCTATGTTCTAAGGAAAGCTTAAAAGCAGACTACGAAGATAGTGTCTCCAATCTCATTTTTACCTTCTTGAAATATACAGTATTTTTGGTAATGCAGTAAAACTGGATGGTGATGATTTTATTTCACTATTGAATCACCCTTCTTGACAATTACATTGCTTTTTCTTTTTTATATTATTTTAGTCTTTCTTGAAATAATTTGAAATAATTGATGGATAATAATAATTCTTAGGATGATAAAATAGCAAAATGTTTCAGTATATAGGATAATAAGACCTCTAAGATCCCATAACATTTCTTAGATACAGGAAAGGGTCCAATGGACCTAGTGCTATAATTGCAAGATAATAGGATAAATTTTTAGCTGAATTTTTATTTTTTAAATAATTATTTTTTTGAGGGAGAGCCCGTGCACACGACTGCGCACGGGTGGTGGGGGTGGGGAGGAGCAGAGGGAGAGTGAGAGAAAGTCCTAAGCAGACTTTGCACTTACACGGAACCCAAAGTAGGGCTTATCTCACAACCCTGACTGAGATCATGACCTAAACAGAAGCCAAGAGTCGGTCACTTAACTGACTGTGCCACCCTGCCGTCCCTTAGTTGAATTGGATATATCTGTGGCTTTTATTTGCATAATATACATTAATTGCAGCCATATCCTAAGACTTGGATTTGGGATTATACCTGATTTTAGTTAATAATATTATGGTTACACCCATAGACTATACATATGATTACACTATACATATAAAATTTTAAAGTAAATTTTCTCTCGTTCTTAATAAGACCTCTAAGAAAGAATAAAGGTCATGAGATTATAGTCTTTTCAAGTGGGTAAAACTCAAACAAGAACCTCAAAAACTAAAATTAGTTGCAGTGGATCTTGGTGGTTATAACAAGAATTAACCATTAAATAGAAAAATAAGGGTAAAAAAACAGGATGGGGGGGAATATGAAGCTTAAGATAAATGGGGAAGAAAAATATGATGTGAAGAATATATGCATACTGAATTTAGGACCAAACAGATTCAGGATGGAGCTGAAAATTCCCTTTTTGTGTTAAAAATTCTACTGTTACCATACTTTCAAAGACATAAGCCAGGACTTGATTAAAATGTGTTTGTTTGATTTGTTCGGGAAGAGTTCTTGCTTACTGATGTTTTGGCCAGATTGGCATGTAATAGGTGTTTTCAAAGAAGTCTTTTCTACTTTAGTTTCATTTATTTCTAAAAATGTTACTTGTTCTTAGAGAACCTGTTCCTTTATAAAGTGAGAAACTTGGAATGGTTCTTTAAATGCTCTTTTTGACTCTGAATTTTTATGTTTTCTCTTTCATATTAGATTCATTAGAATAAGATTTTTTTTAAAAAAATGTTACTGAGATACAATATATAACTAAGGTGTACAACATTGTGATTTGATACACTTATATATTGCAATAAGCTAACACCTCTGTCATGTCATGAAACTATCACTTTTCTGTGGTGGGAACAGTTAGATAAAGTCTCTTAACAATTTTGAAGTTTATAATACAGTATTGTTACCTGTAGTCACTATGTTGGTACTCCTTTTACAGATAGGGAGACCAAATTTCACAATTCAAGTAACTTGTTCACAGTCACAGAGTTTGTAGCAAGGGAATAGTATTTTTTACTTAATCTTCTCTGTTAATTACTACAGTAGCTCCCAGCTTGTATACCACCAGGAACTATTCTTATTAATCTTTAAGACCTGCAGAGGTGTTTTAGAAAAGTTTATGTAGGGAGACTTTTTCATAATTAGTTTTCTCATTTTTAGTTAACACCATAATATATGTAATTGCTCAGTCAGCTTCAGACTCGTAAGTATCACGTTAAGTAGTGTCACTGTATCCAGTTGCTGTAAATCTGGTCCCAGCAAAAAAGGAGGGGGGAGATTTCAAATTTTAAATGTTCCTTTAATTAGTCTTCATTGCCTAACTTTTATTAGTTTCTGAAATGTATTACATATTTCAGAGTACTTCCTAATACTGTTTGGCTAATTTCTAGAGGTGGAGGTTGAGGAAGGCCCAAATTGAGAACTGTTTTTGCTAGATCAGTTAATTTATAATGATATTTGAGCTTTGTTTTGCCTCTATACATTAATGAATGACTTAGTTCTTTAATATAAAATACTTTTACATTAAAAGTATTATAGCATTTTAATTTATAGCACTTTACAAAAATGCTAGTTGCCATTGAAATTCTAGATTCATTTAACTTAGTGCTATTATATATCTTTCATGATGTAATCCCTTTATTCTTGAAAGTATAATGTTTATATTTTCCATAAGTAAAAATTCGTTTGAAGGCTTACTTGATCTTACCATTCTATTACAGTCTTCTTCTTTTATGGAGGTGTCCCATGCCCTTAAGTAAACTTGGATTTGTACAGAAGTATAATGTTAGGTTGATTGTAAATAATTTAACATGGGATTTCTATATGTGTTGGGCTCCTTTTTAAAACTTTGCGAAGTTTGTATGTTTAAATTCTGTTGAATAATACGCATGGTTTCTTAATGTTTGTGTGTTTGTATACATCTTCGATAGGCAACCCCTCAGGATAGTCAAGAGGGCACGTTTGGATCAGAGCATTCCGCCTCACCATCACAAGGGAGCAGTCAACAGCATTTCCTTGAACCTGAAGTGAATTTGGATGATTCTATAGATATTCAGCAACAGGTAAAAAGTAAATCTTTTTCTGGGTCATAAATTTCTAAAATTAATTAGAGGAAAATATTATAAAATATGGTAAATGTTTTTCTTTTATGTAAAATATTTTATTTTTATGTAAGGTAATGGTAATGTCCTAAATATTTTTTCCTCACACTTAAGCTCTGTACTGACCATTTTAGGTAAATATTAGGCATTAATGCTACTATGGTGAATATTTTGTAAGGCAGAATTGTCAGTATATACTGCATCTCACTCGGGCATTTTGTTTGCTGTTCTTCTGACTTTCAAGGATATGGATATAGATGAAGGGCAAGATGGAGTGGAAGAGGAGATCTTTGAACAAGAAGCAAAGAAAGTGGCTGTTCGCTCAAGATCAAGAACACATTCACGATCTCGTTCAAGGTTCTACAATAATATTTAAGAGTAGCTGTGTGTGAACTTTGAAAGTTGGCTGTGTTTCTTTGTATCGAGATTAAAGGAAGTGTTTTTCTTAAAATGACATATTCTCCAGAAAGAAATAATTCAGAATTTCAAAAACAGAAAAATTCTTTGTTCTCTTTTAATTGGATATATCTGTGGCTTTTATTTGCATAATATACATTAATTGCAGCCATATCCTAAGACTTGGATTTGGGATTATACCTGATTTTAGTTATTAATGTTATGATTACACCCAGGTTAGGATATTATTGCCTCTGAAAACTGTTCACTCAAGCTTTAGAGGAACAGTGTTAGAAATTCCACTGTATTTCTTAGATTTTGTTTCATCTTATAATACAAAAAGTGATCATAAAAATAAAACTATAAGAATTATTTTGTAAACATCAAGCATAGTATCAGATTATAATAAAGTATATCCTGTGGTTTTCTTTGTTAGCTTTCAACATGGCTAAATCTCATTAATGTACATGCTTATTCAAATTTGAGTTGAAGTTATTTATATGTAGTGTTTTTGCTACAAATTGTCTTAAAACTTTAAGTCATTAGTCTTTAATATTAAATACTCTATTTTCTGTACATAAATACCCCTGAAAATCTGAACAGTGTATGCTGGAAAAGGGGCAGTATCTTTGATGACTTTTTCAGTCATTCCTTACTTGTTTCAAGAGGTTATTTGTATTTACCTCTTGTAAACGAGAGCTTGTGAGTTCCACTCTCTCTAAACCCATCTCATGTCAGTGAGTAACCTTGCTAAAGCAGTTACAGTGTTAGAACTGAAACCTTAGCAGCTTCTTTGTCTTAACAACACCTCCTTATTAAGCATTTTGAAGCAGCTCAGTGGCATATGGGTGACAGGAAAAAAAGAAACAGTATCACCCTGTATTTTAAGTCAAGCACCTTGAAATTTTAGGAGTTGAAAACTTATATGCAGAATTCTTTAGTGGCCTAATTCTCTGTTGGAAACATTCTCTGTTTCCTAATTTTAAGAATATAACGGCTTTATCACCTAAAGATCTTTTTATTTTCTTCAGTCTCTCATTCCTATTCTTGACTCTTGTTTGAAAAATGAATTGGAGGACACTAAAGAAAGTAAGGCCCTTACTGGATAGAATCTCATTCTCTTCTTCCTGGTCTCAGTAAGAATCATTGCAAACAAACATCTATTACAGTATGGGCCTGAGCAGTACATAGATTTGAGAAAATACATGTTTGATATTTCATTCTACTTAAACATTTTTTAAGAGGTAGCTAAATATAAGACAACCTTTTGTGTGTGGGTGTGGTTTTTTCCCCCTCACCTAGAAGTGAGAAATTTGACAGAAGAATAATATTGTCGTTAGAAGTAAAATAAGATTTTTTTTGTAGATCACCAAGAAAACGAAGGTCTCGGTCGCGATCTGGTTCTCGAAAGCGTAAACACAGAAAGCGATCACGCTCCCGCTCAAGAGAAAGAAAGAGGAAATCATCACGTTCATACTCAAGTGAAAGGAGAGCGAGAGAAAGGGAGAAAGAACGACAGAAGAAGGGACTACCTCCAATTAGATCTAAAACATTAAGTGGTAAGTGACATACTTTTACAAAGCTTTGGTTTCAACAAATAATTAAGAAAATCATTAACTGCTAAAGTTAACTATTTTTAGACTAAGAAATCGAAAAGTAATTTGGTAAATGAATAATTTTATCCTTGGTTTTTGTAAAGTGAGAGAGGAGAAAAGAAAAAGGAAGAACAGGTTCTACTGAAACACTGAGGTCATTTAGAGTTGATTTTTTAAAATTCAAATTAGAAAATATAGAACCCGACTAATATATAAAGTGGACTAGGCCTACTGTCTTTTACATAGACACTGTGATTTCTGTTCAGTGTCTAACCAAGTTTGACCACCAGGTCTGGGGAATAATTATTGAAGGAAGCATGTAAATTGTAAAGCTAATTGTAAACTTACTGGATCAGCAACAAGGGAGAGATTCCCATTGTACAAACTTTCCCTCCTTTATATGTTAATCTGTAATGTATAATTAGAACAAATTTGGTAGTAGTGAGAGTTTGAAGGAGAGTTCACTTGGTAGGAATGTGAGTTGTAATTAGTACGAGTTTATTCCTGAAGGATTCCTAGTGAGTTATGATTTCTAAGGTGAACAAACCGGCTGCAGACGGGCAAAGTACATAAAATGGAACAAATTGTCATTCTTTGCCAAGAGCTGAACACTGATCAGGTTGTCTAATTTCTGAAGGTCTCCAAATTCTTTCTGCCATGGAGATAGATAAATAATTGGTATAACTTATACTGCTGAATCATCCTGGAAATCCAGGCTTTATAATTAAAGGCAACATCTAGCCTCTTACTAAGTTCTGGCATTTTCAGTAAGCTGTGGCTATCTTGCCAGAATCTTACCTGATTATGAGAGCCACTGTTAATTTAATAATGTTGATATTCCTAACTCTGAAAATGTGTTTATCTCCTTAGGGTGAGAGACCAAATTCAAACATTTTAGTGCTATATGATAAAGAAATAACATCAAAGGCCTGACCATAAAATCTCTGCTGTGCCTCCCTTCTCATGATTACCATTAGGACATTCAGAATCACCAGTTTTAGGATAGGGCTTTTATATGGAGTCTTCCATTTAGTTCCTCACTTTACTTGTCATATTATAGCTTCCACCATTTACATAGTTACTGACCATGGAATCTATTTCCTATTGCTATGGTTTTTTTCATGAGTAAAAAATAAAAAAGAAAATTCAGAAAGCACATAAGAAAATACAGTGAAAAGTATATCCCTCATTATTTACCTCAAAACTCTCTTTATTCCACAGCAATATCAATTTCATGTGGCCCCAACGCATTTTAAACAAATATGGTAGTATTTCCCTGCCATTAGTCCTTTGAACCTAAAAGAGTATTCATGAATAGTGCAGTGGATATGAAACATCAACAAGCAGTAATATTCTAGGAATTAGTGTCCTCTCCTCGTGGGATGGGGGAGATTCATTATTGCTTTCTGGGTTTAAAAAAAAAAAAGTTGTGGGAAAAATTTGTGGAGAGACTACCTTGAAACAGTAGGGGAAACATGGAACGTATTTCAGGGAGATTAAAGCAGCTGTGATGTGGTAGAGTAATGAAGCAGTGGGAACTTTTCAATGAAAGAGGTCTAGAAATTTACTGAGGGTTTGTGGTAGGTTGAGTAGTGGTCCTCCAAAGATGTTCATATCCAAATTATTGGAACTTGTAAATATGTTGCATCACATTGTATGATTAATCAGGATCTTGGTGCGGGAAGATTAACTTGGGTTATCCAGAAGGGCTCAGTGTAATCTAGGGGAAACAAGAGGGTCAGAGAGAAAAGGTGATGTGAAGATGGAAGGAGAAAGATGAAGATAGGTAAATGCTCCACTATTGGCTTTGAAGATGGAAGTTGGGGTCATGAGTCAAGGAATGCAGGGAGCTTGTCAAGGAAACAAATTATCCCCTAGAGAATCCAGAAAGAATGCAGGCTTGTTGACCCATTTTAGACCTCCACAACTGTTAGAGAATACATTTTTGTGTTTTAAGCTACTAAGTTTGTGGTATTTTGTTACAGCAATAGAGTAAAACTAATATATTGCTCCTTGAGACTTTGGTTGAATATTAAATTACATGTACATGGGGTGAAGACTATGTGAGGCAAAGAAGAGTAAGAACATTACCAGGGAATCTGTTAGCTGAGTGATTCTTAAAGCTAACACAGGTCTGGAAGACCTATTGAGTTCAAACCAGCTGGAGTAGAGAGACCTGGTTGAAAACCTTCGTTCAGTAGAGATCTTGCAATAGTCACTAGTGTGATGCTAAATTAGCTCTAGAGTAAAACCTGCTTGAGCCCTGCCCGATAATAGATAAAAGATCATCAAAAGGCTGAAAACCTTGTCTTTAAAAATGACATTGATGTAAATCTAGATTAATTAAAACTCTGCAAATATATCAGCTCTTGTAAATATTTTGTAAGTAAGTGTTTTCAGGAAAAGGAAATGTTCACAGAGTCCTGAACGGTACAGCTTATAGTAGGCGGGATAGCTCATGTGTAGGTCTGTTTCTTAAAGGGAAATGCTTCCCACAGTTAAAGCGTGTTACAAGTTTTTCATGATAACAAGTTAAGGAGTTCCATCCAATTCAGCCTTTTCCCCCTTGTATCTCTGTGCAAATTATTTCCTTAAGGATAAGGTGCTTGTTTTCAGATTTAACTGTTGATTAGGAAGAAACATCCACTTAATCATTCCAGCACAGAAAGATTAAAGGTGCAGAGATAGGATTGCAGTGAAAAGTGTTTTTGTGACTTTGTTACATTATGAGAATTACATACAGAATTTTAAAACTCCCAATTCCCAGTCTGTCATACCCCAAAACCTTTCACCTTTGGGGTAAGACCCAGGTATCCATAGGTGATTGAAGTGCGCCGCCAAGCTTGAGAACAGGTAATACACAAGAGGTTGATTTGCAATAGATGTAGATGGTATCTGGGATTTTAGTTCATTTTAAGCGTTAACAGATAAAAATGTCACTTAAGTGTTTGAAATATCCATCTTAAATCTTACTATTTTTATTAGTGCTTTTTCTTCAGTTGCTTGAAAGAAATAGCTATGTCTGTGTGATTTAGGTCATTTATCTCTTTTATGTCTTGACAGTATGTAGTACTACTTTGTGGGTTGGTCAGGTGGATAAGAAGGCAACCCAGCAAGATTTAACCAATCTGTTTGAAGAGTTTGGACAAATTGAATCCATTAATGTAAGTATCACTTCTTATACAATAGTTTAAGGTTAAAAATTTACATATAGAGAGGATTTTTAGTCAGAGAGTCACTTTGGTTCCTAATGAGCCCAGTAGAGTATCTGCCTTTAATAATGCACATCTTTATAAGGATTATTTGACTTTAATAATTTCTGTTTATTTCTGCTGCTATGATAAACAGCTGAGATAATCCTTAATTTTTCTTTTTTAGTGGAATTCTAACAAAATGTTTTTAGGGGTTTCATAGCAATATAGCTAGCACGTGGTTCCTAAAATCATCCAGCGTTTGGGCTAGCGGGACCCTATCTGTGGCCTAGCTTAATTCCACCACACCCCTTTTTTGGTAATGAAAATGAGGAAACTGAGTCCCACAGAATTGTAATCACCTACACATGAGCACATAGGTAGTCGTGGAGACACAATTGGACTTGGGGTCCCAGTCTTTCTGCCAGTCCCCTTCCTCCTCACCCCACGTCTCCCTCTCAAAGCAAACCTGTGGCAAGAAAACCTGTGTGGTCACAGCACCTCAGGAACTTGACCGCAACTCTTTGACTCCTCAGCTTGATTTTTTCAGTGCTTTTGCTCCATTCAGTCTCCTTCTTGGAGTATTTTCTTCTTCCTAGGTCAGTTTTTTTTCCCCCGGGGCTAAAACTAAGTCATGGAATGTTTTATAGAAATTTATTTGTTTGAGAAGTCTTCTAATTCATCAATCCTCTGATTTTATTTACTGTTTTTATACTTTGTCTGTTGGACTTTTAACATTATTTACCAGGAAATTGGCTGCTTTTCCTTTCTAGTCTTAGATCCTTACATGACCAAACTTGACTTTTCCTTATTAATAACAGCACTCTTCATTGAATTGTTTGACCATTTCGTATACTACTTTCAACCATATATGATCTCATTGGAACCTAACAAGAAGCTGGTTAAGTCCCATTGTTTTTACCAGTGAGGAAACTAAGTGATTTGCCTGAGTTGCACAGACAATACATAGATGATTGGTTGGGTGTTTCAACTTAAGAGTTTCATATTCCTCTCTCTACACCATGAGTGTGCTGTAGGCTTTTCTTACTCTTTTGTCTTTTTAATTTCACCTGTCAAAACATAAACTATCTGCCGGAGTCCTTGATCATACAACCTCTGAATTTTTTCCTGATTTTCCCCTAGCTGAGATGTCAGAAATGTGTTGACAGTTGAAAAAGTAGGGATGCCCAAGATCAGGGTCCTTAGATTCTTATCAAAGTGCCACAGTTTGCACAGGTGATTTCTAATGCAAAGTCAGGAATCACTGCTCAAATGGATCCTGAATCCAAGCAGCATTTGGATTGTCCTATTACTTGTGACATTTTTGGCCTTTCTTGTTCCATAGTCATTTGGGCATTAGTTTACCTTGTCTCCCCCCTCTTCTATATTACCTTTTAAGAGCATAGTACTTAGAAATAATAGGCACTGAGTTATTTTGTGAACTGAAATGTATTGAATGGCTAATGATAAAATCCAGGATTTGAAAATTTGATGGAAAGTTTATAAACCTTTCAGTTGGTGTTGGGGGAGTTTGAGGACTGAGTAAAAAGTCTGTTTGATTTAGCACTTAGTGGGTCATTAGTAAGCTTGAAGAAAATTTTTCAGTGCATTGATAAAGAGTTGGGTCTGTTTTGCAAAAGAGGAAGAAGTATGTAGGGGTTAGATTTCTTTTTTGAGAAGTTTGGTATTAAAGTATGGAAAATAGCTTGAGGTGAACTCTGAGTGAAAGTGAAAACACTAAAGCTGTTTTCTTATTTGTGTTAAAACCTTGTCCAGAAGCACTTGGGCAAAATTAAGTTTTATACAGTTGAAAAGCTTTAGTGTTATCATTTCTTGTAGATTATAGATTTTATATTAAGGATAAGATACTTCCCCCAAACGAAAATCTTTCTCCCATTACTCCGTATGATACTTGGAAAAACTGAAATACTTTCAATTTTTGAATAAATTATATGCTTTCAAATATGTTGGCCATGCAATATTGTTTTCTTTTTATCTGGTGGTATTGTATACATGTCTTTTTACCCGTGCATGGTAAGGTGAATTGCGCTTATTTCTTGTATATTAGGAAAACTTTGACATGTGATATTCAAGATTTTGCTTATGTTATGACTTAGAATAAGACCCAACTAGGTTTTGAATTCTTTTTAAACTAAGTAATTAGTTGTAGATGGATTGTACCAATAAACAGCCAAAGAAAAAAAAGGGAAAAACTATTCAATCTTAGTAGTCAGTGGTGATCTGTTTCATTAAAACCATAAGATAATGTCAGAATGAATGAATGCCTTATGTTTACCCTTTCTAAAGAAAAAAATTTTTTTAATAGATGATTCCTCCCAGGGGCTGTGCTTACGTCTGCATGGTTCATCGACAAGATGCTTTTCGGGCTCTTCAGAAACTTAGTTCCGGATCATATAAAATTGGGTCCAAGGTCATTAAGGTGAGACTGGAGGGGAGGGACCCATGCTCTTCTTTTATTGGATTATTAGAATGTTCCTGTATCTGATTCATCTTCTATTTTAATGTTATGGGAAAACCTCTAGAAAAGCTTATTATTTCAGTATTATTGAGTTATAGAATTAGAAATAGGTAAAACAGTAACTAAAACTTTAATCAAATGATTCTTTGAAATCACACTTATAGTTCTCTTGGTCAACCAGGGCACCATTTTATGAGTAGAACTTTCTCATTTTGTAAGTTCTTTTTTCTGTTCTGTTCTGTTCTGTTCTATTCTTTCCTCACACCTCCCCTCCCCTCTCTTTTCTTTCCTTTCTTTCTTTCATTTTTAAGTAATCTCCACACCCAATGTGGGGCTCAAACCTATAACCCTGAGATCAAGAGTTGCATGCTCCACCAACTGAGCCAGCCAGATACCCCAAGCTTATCTTTCATTCACTACTTCCTCCTAATGTTTCCTAATCATACCTCTTAATTATATTATTATTTCCTCCTTTTTAACATCTTGTGTTCTCCAGGCCACTGGTGAGGGGTTTATTAATAAGTATAATTTTGTTTTCCTCTTAGTCTTTAAACTGAGTGTTTATTGTGTATTTTTCCATTTTTACTTCTTGTGACTAATTTACATTTTATTTCTGCTACTTGAAGATAATTTATTCCATCAGTTTCTGCAACTGAGTTAAAAACTTTAAAAAAATACTTTCTACTCCTGAAACAAATAATACACTATATGTTAATTAAAAAAAATACTTTCAAGGTTAATATGCCTGTGCTTTGTCATTTCATGGCAGAGAGTTTCCTCTGTGTAAAGTGTCTCCTTTCCTAGACTATCAAGATTTTGTTTAAGTTATGATAACTATTCTAATTATTGCTAATGTAGGTTGACCTTTTTAGGGTGAGAAGTAGATTTGGATTGTTCTGGAAATGTGTTCTTTAATTTTAGTAAGAAGTGGAAATCCCATGTTATAAATGCCGTTGCTATCTAATGCGGGCTTTATTTAAAAACAAACAAAACCAGGAAAAACATGGAAAAACTTCTTGGCTACTATTATTTTTCGAGCATCCAGTGATGCTTGTCCAACAATTTTATTTATATTTACACTGTTTACATATAATTTTGAACATTTTACCTGGTTTTTACAGTATATCTGAGCTTTCTGTTTTCTTCTCTTCATTCCTGATAGATTGCTTGGGCTTTAAACAAAGGTGTAAAAACAGAATATAAACAATTCTGGGATGTGGATCTTGGAGTTACGTATATACCGTGGGAAAAAGTTAAAGTGGATGACTTGGAAGGTTTTGCAGAAGGAGGCATGATTGACCAGGAAACTGTAAATACTGGTAAGAACACTAAGGGTAGTTTTATTGTTTAAAAAAAAGTATGCTTAAAAGGTTGTAATCGATAAGAGTTGTGCATGGTAAGGTGAATTGCGCTTATTTTATTTCCTGAATTCTACCCCTCCCCAAAAGAGAAAAAAACTGAAACACTGCCATTTCCAGTGTGTATGCTTAATGGGTCTTATTTCCTAAGTGTCAGAGTATAGTGTTTTAAAAGTCTATAAATGTAGCATTTTTCCTCTAAGTCTTTTAAAAAAGTTTTGCTTTTAGAGAAAGAGCAAATATGAGTATATGGAGACTTTTTTTTTTTTAAAGATTTTATTTATTTATTTGAGACAGAGAGAATGAGAGACAGCATGAGAGGGAGGAGGGTCAGAGGGAGAAGCAGACTCCCCGCCGAGCAGGGAGCCCGATGCGGGACTCGATCCCGGGACTCCAGGATCATGACCTGAGCCGAAGGCAGTCGCCCAACCAACTGAGCCACCCAGGCGCCCATGGAGACTTTTTTAAACTAAATATTTCAGTTACTTGAATTTTTTTTTTTTTTTTTTAAGATTTTATTTATTTTTTGACAGAGAGACAGCGGGAGAGGGAACACAAGGAGGGAGAGTGGGAGAGGGAGAAGCAGGCTTCCCGCCGAGTGGGGAGCCTGATGCGCGGGGCTCGATCCCAGGACCCTGGGATCATGACCTGAGCTGAAGGCAGCCGCTTAATGACTGATGCACCCAGGTGCCCCTCAGTTACTTGAAGTTAAATAAGAACTGAGGATGTAAGAAGTTTCTTTGAAGAACTTCCTAGATTATTTTGATTAGTATCCATGTTGAGAATGGCAGGAATAGAATCTTAGTTTAGAGAGCTAGTAGTTCTGATTCATGCAATTCTAGAATGCTTATAACTAAATGATCATCTGGCCTATTTTTTTTAACTCATGTTTTTATTTTTAAAAATACCAGTTATAAATCCACAAAATGGTTAGCATTTATAACCAGTAAGCAATCTTAAAACGGATACTTGGAAAATAATTGTAACGTGGTATATAGCTTATTTCTTCACATCTTAACTCTTTTACCAAAGTAAGCTAGCTAATTTTCAGGATATCTTCATCCTTAGGCCAGTGCAAATATTTTCAAACACTTTTTCAGTGTTTTCATCTTGTCGGTCTTTTTTTCTTCTTGCTGGATATTTCTCCTAAACACTTACTCATTCAGTAAATATTTTAGTTCCTATTGTATGCCAGCCATGATTTTAGGAACTGGGATTATATCAGTGAGACAGACAGACAAAAATCCTTCCTCTCATGGAGTACACATTGTAGTACAGGGGTTCACAGCCTATAGCCCATGGGCCAAATCCTGCCAGCAAGCTCTTCTGTAGAGTTTTATTGAAACACAGCCATACTCAATTGTGTTTACCTATCTTATATGACTTTTTTTCAATAGCAGTTGAGCAGGTACAACAGAAAACATATGGCTCGTAAACTTGTATACTTAGTATAGGAAAAGTTTGCCAACCCATGTTTCTAGTGGAAAGAAACATAATAAACAAAATAGATAAACTATATAATATATTTCTAGGTTGCTAAGTTCTAAGAAGAAAAAGCAGGGAGGGGGGGTAGACCGTATGGGTGTGGAGCTATTGCAGTTTTACGTGAAGAAGATCTAATGGAGAGTGATACTTGAAGGAGTGAGATGTGCAGCTCTCTGGAGAAAGAGCATTCTATACAGAGGGAACAATATGTGCAAAGTCTATTCAAAAATTATGAGACCAGTATGATTTGAGCAAAGTTAGTGAGGAATGAGAAGTAGGAGATAAAGTCAGAGAGGTGTACAGAGAGACAGAGTCCTATAAAGTCTTATTAGTCAATATAATGACTTTGATCTTTACTCTGAGGGAGATGGAGAACCAGTGGAAGAACCATGAGAGCTTCTTTGTTTTATTTTTGCATAGCTGTGCTTTCAGAAAGATTTTTCTTTATTGGGTTAATACTTTTCCTTGTCGGTCTCCCCTTGTACCTTGTGACGCAAGATAGTAAGATTGGATCCTCATATCAGACAGCCTTTGAGGTATATATCTATGATATCCCCTAAGTATTTTAGTATCTTTCATTTGTGTCTTGTGTGATGCTTCTTTGAACTCCTTAGTATTCTCATCAGACTTACCTGGGCAAAACCGAGGTTGGCACCTGTAGTTGTGGACATGTCTTAAAGATGTGCCAAGGTAGATGAAGGACGTAGAGACGAAATAAATACATAGATAGACATAAAATGAAAATTTGCACCTATCCAGAGGAAATCAATTTCAAATATTTTGTTTAGAGTGGGAAACTGTGAAAAGCTCAGAACCCGTTAAAGAGACGGTGCAGACAACTCAGAGCCCAACTCCAGTTGAAAAGGAGACAGTGGTCACAACCCAGGCAGAGGTTTTTCCTCCACCTGTTGCTATGTTACAGGTTAGTGTTGGGTGTTTGTTATTGTTAATGTGTTGTCTTACATTTCTGTTTTTACTCGTGTATTTACTTTATAAAACTTGGAGGAAGTTGTCCAAAATAGAATAGGAGTTTAGTCAAATAATTTTGGGGAAAATTTTTTTTTTTTTTTAGAAATGGTGTCATTTATATATAAATGTTTATTTATTGTACAAGTATTTATCCATGGTCTCCTTCTATGACATTCACTGTTCTAGGCACCTGGGATAAGGATACATCAGTGGAAAGAAAACCACACAAACCCCTGCCCTTATGCAGCTTTTATTTTCAATAGGGGAGACAGAAAATGCAAAATAAGTAAGTTTGTGAGATACTGTGGAAGGAAAAGGGAGTATGAGGGTTATCAGGGTGCCTGGATAAGTGATTATGATTGTAAATAAAATGGTCAGAGCAGACTCGAGAATGTGACATTTGAACAACAACTTAAAGTTGCTGAGGTAATTAACCATGTGGCTACCTGAGGAAGAGCACTCTAGGCAGAGGGAGCATCCAGTTCAAAGGCCTAGGCCAGGAGCATATTTGGTGTGTTTCAGGAATAGCAAGTGGGCTAGAAGTGAAGTGAATGAGAGGCAGCTTAGCGGAAGGGAGAGTTCTAGAAGGACTCTGGTTTTCACTCTGAGATGGAGCGTTATTGGAGGAATTCGACGAAAGCAGTGACTTGATCTGGCTTCAAAGGTTTTAAAAGATTTGGTTTTAAAGGATTTCACTGGCTACTATTTTGAGAATAGATTAGTGGGCATTAATAAAAGCAGGGAGACCAGTAAAGAGACAGTTGTAGCAATCCAGATGAGAGCTGATGGTTCAGACTAGACTGATGGCAGTGGAGAGAATAGGAAATGGTCAGATAATTAATTAGGGGTTATGTGATGGTGTGTCCAGTGGGCTTTTATGGCATGATGAGACTTGACTTATGAGAAAGAGAAGAGGTAAGGTTTTGGGTTTGAGAAATTGGAAAGATGAAGCTATCCTTATCTGAGCATGGGAAAGACATTTGGGAATTCAGTTTTGCACAAGGAAGTTTGGCATGTCTTTCAGACAACGAAGTTGAATAGACCATTGATAATACATAATTTAGGAAAGAGGTACACCCACAGTACATACATATTTGGGAATTACTGTGCCTAGGATGAGTAGAAAATACCTCTGCTAGGAATAGAAAATAAACTTAGGAGAAATTCACGCCATTTTGAAACTTATTGACCTGCTTCCTAATGGTTAGGTTGCATACCATAACTGGGTATTTTAAACTTAGTGGGAGGTGGCAGTTTAAAATTGATCATGATATTCACTATTCAGGCAGGGGCCCCTTACTTTACATCACTTGAATGTAAGATAGATTTCAGTCTCCATGTACACTCTCTGTTGAATAACACTGCCTTGCTTTTACCCCAAGTTAGAGTCAGTTATAAGTATGCAAGAAGGTAAATAACAAAACAACTTAATATAATGGTGTTTGTTATCTCCCTTAGAAAGAAATAGAAATTTTTTACCTTTTGTTGTTCCAAGGTGTAATCGTTGCTAATGGATAAGGTGATTTATGGACTTTTTATTTTCTATCTACAAAAGATTCCAGTAGCGCCAGCCGTGCCTGCAGTTAGTTTAGTCCCACCAGCATTTCCTGTCTCAATGCCGGTTCCTCCTCCTGGATTCAGTCCAATCCCTCCACCTCCTTTTCTGCGAGCGAGTTTTAACCCTTCACAACCACCTCCTGGTAAGGAATTTTCATCTTTTTGGGGGGGGGGGGGTACGATTTTATTTACTTGAGAAAGAGAGCATGAGCAGTGGAGAGGGGCAGTGGGGAAGGAGAGAAGCAGACTCCCCACTGAGCAGGGAGCCCAACATGGGGCTCGATCCCAGGACCCTGAGATCATGGCCTGAGCTGAAGGCAGATGCGTAACTGACTGAGCCACCCAGGCACCCCAGGAATTTTCATCTTATGTGTACTCTGCTTAGAATATCATTCATTCATTCATTCATTTAAAAAAATGTTTTTGGATTTATTTTCCTTAAGTAAACCCTCCACCCAGTGTGGGGCTTGAACTAATGACCGCAAGATCAAGTCACGTGCTCTACTGACTGAGCCAGCTAGGCGCCCTACAATATCATTCAAATTGTTATTTTTCCAGGTTAAAATGCTATAGAGCATCAGTTCTCAAACCTTAGCATACATAGGGATCACTTGGAGGGCATGTTAAAACAAAGTGTGCTGGGCCTGGCCTCCTTTTGCTTCACTAAGACTGAGGTAGGGAAAGACACTTGTATTTCTAACAAGTTCCCAGGTGATGGAGATGGTTGAAGGACCAGTATGGACAGAGAAAAAAATGGAATCCTTTAAAAGCATTGAAATATTCTTAAAATAATTTAAAATTTATGTTGAATTTTTTGTATCAGAATTCTCTGTAGTTATCACCCATCATTCATCAGGAAGTATGCATTAAATTATATAGGTTGTTCCTCCTAAAAATCATGGTTTTCATTTTGACATAAATTATAATCTATCTAAAAATGCTAATTGAATTTGTAATACTTTTTTTGACCTTACAAATTTTTGATAAAGGTTCCTTGAGTCAGCATTTCTAGTTTAGAAACTATATAGATTACTAACACGCACCAATTAAATATAAATAATAGCTTATATAGCTTAGAGGTAGAACTTTTGGTATTAGACCATGGGAGGTTAGAAGAATGAGGGAGAGGCACAAGGGATCAAATGATATACATTGTTTTTCAAAGCTATTTTTAGCTTTCTTTGAACTTCATGAACTCTTTGCATATTGTAAGAAAAAAATACTTTGGTTTCTATAATTTAAGTTCTTACCAATTGAACAGAATTCCTAAAAATTCCTCAACATTATCTGAGAATGTTTGTAATTTGTCATATAACATAAAATTTTCACATTGTAATTAAATACATAATTTGAAATTGATGCAGATATTATAAGAATTCTTTTTTATATGTTAAAGATTAGAAAATTATTCTTGTCAAATATTTTCTGTATTTGGAATCTGAATTAAAATTTTTTTTCAGAAGATAATTTTAAGATTTATTTTAGAAAAGAGAGGGGGAGGGGAGGGGCAGAAGGATGGGGGAGAGAGACTGAAGGATACTCCACATGGAGTGCAGAGCTGGTTGTGGGGCTTGATCTCGCAATCTTGAGATCACGATCTGAGCCGAAACCAGGGTTTGGGTGCTTAACTGATTGCACCACCCAGGCACCCTTTCAGAAGATAATTTTAAAGGATTATTTCAAAAACCATACCACCTAGACTTTGTAAAGTCAGTGTGCAGCATTCATTTGTTGAAAATCACATATCTTTATTTTTAGCCATTGTGGTTTTTTGTTTTTGTTTTTTGTTTTTTTAAGATTTTATTTGGGGGGGGTGGAGGAGCGAGCCAGCCTGGGGGAGGGGCAGAGGGAGAGAATCTTCAAGCAGACTCCCCGAGGAGCATGGAGCCTGACATGGGGCTCAGTCTCACGACCTATGAGAACATGACTTGCGCCAAAACCAAAAGACGCTTAACTGACTGAGCCACCCAGGTGCCCCTTTAGCCACTGTTTTTAAATTGAATTTAATGGTTGCTCTATATCTTAAAAATGCACGGAAACAGGTTTATAGTTTGATCATTTGACATTTAAAATTATTAAACAGTCAATATTAAATTGAAGGTTTATTTCAGTGCTCAAAACATAATACAGTAACATCCAAGGCTAATGAAAATATTTTGATCTAGTAGATAAATAGCGTATAAATCAAAGCAATATAATAGCACATTTTACAGATGACATTATTGCATATAGTGTTATCAACAGCTTGAAATACAGTATTTAACTCTCCATGCAGTCACTGAGCTAACATACGAAACAAGTTGCCTGGCTTATATTAATCTTTGACTTTATAGCATCGTAGAGAGTGCCACAGAACTTCCACAAATGAGCAAATAAATAGGACACGATCATGATAAGGATCTCTATGCTTCACTTAGCTTACTAAGGATCAAATATTAAGGTAGTGGTTATAAAAGTGATTTTTTTTTAAAGATTTGTTTATTTTAGAGAGAGATGTGTGCTCATGAATGTGGGGCAGGGAGGGACAGAAGGAGAGGGAGAGAGAATCTTAAGCAGACTCCCTGATGAGGGTAGAGCCAGACGCAGGGCTCGATCCCCCAACCCTGAAATCGTGACCCCAGCCAAAATCAAGAGTCAGCTGCCCAACCAGCTGAGCCACCCAGGCGCCCCTAAAAGTGATGTTTTTAAATGAAGAATATATTCACAAGTATGAGGTCATAGTAATGGCAGACTGTTTTAAGAATGTAGAATTTCATGTATAGCTATTGAAATCTTTGAGTTAAAAGAAGGAACTCTTACGCTATTTTGGTTTTGGTCTTTTTTTCCCCGTGTAGGTTTCATGCCACCTCCAGTTCCACCACCTGTTGTACCACCACCCACCATTCCACCAGTAGTACCAACATGTGAGTTCTCTACTTGGGGAATTTTCTTTATTCATGGTAGTGTTGACCTATGGATTCTCATTCTTACAAATCATTGTTAATTTTTTTATTATGAAAATTTTAGACAAATACATTTTTTTGTTAAATGATTTCTAAAAAATTAACATGTGATAGTCATTCTGTATTCAGATTTGCTCTGTTGTCTCAAAATGTCATTTATAATTGGTTTTAGTCAAGATTCAAAGAAGAGTCCCCAGATCACTTTTGTGTGGTTTATTTTGTGTATTAAATGTCTTAATATAGAGCAGTCCTGCTGAGACCTCCCTTTCTTTTTTAATCCTTTATGTCTTTGATTTGTTGAAGAAACAGTTACTTCTGTATGCAAGATTCCAAACAATGGATTTGGTTTTGCTTCTTTGTGGCATCAAATTTGTTCCTCTATCTTCTGCTTTTTCTGTACATAGGAAGTTTTTTAGCACCAAAGGTTTGCTTAGAATCTGCTTCAGCATTTTTAGCAACAGTATTTAACTGGTGGGTGCTGTAGACTTGATGTGACATCACATTGGGAGCCCTGCAGTTTCCTCTCACCCCACTTTCAGTGGTGGTAAGGTGGATCAGAGCATTCAGGTAACGGAACCTGGTCATTAAAAAACTTCCCCTTCAAATTTTCATCTGATGGTTTCATCCATTGATCATTATTGCTTTTTAATCTACTTTCCATTAGTTGCAAAGTGCTAATCTTTTGAATTTTATAATTTTTCCACATTTCTTACCTAGAATTTTTCTATTAAAAAAACCTTTTCTTACAACTAGTAGTATTTAGTTATCTTGATGTACATTTGTGCAGGAGAACCATGGTAGATGCTAACTTCTTATCTTTAAGTGCCATTTTTCAGCATGATGAGTGATTAGTTCTATGGGTATTTCCAGTGATACCTGGTGAGTGAAGGGGAAGAGGCTTTTTCTTATTACTCCTCCTCTTTCTCTCCCTTTCCTCTTCATCTCTTCTTCATTTTCTTTAGTGTTTATCAGTAGTAGAGTTCTACTTTAGAGCACTTGCATTCACTTTCTGAAGTTGAATTTGTTTTATCTTTAGACAGCAAGACCTTTCATAGTTGCTTCTCTATCCTTTTGAGATGACTACATCAAAGGACTTTAGTATAAGGACTGTATATGTGACAGAGAACTTACCTATTGATAATATAATCCATTTTCCTTATATTTGTAAGCCCTTCTCTACTTTTCCTTTCTGACAGGATTAGCATCCTTCTTTTTTGTTATTTTGGTTCATTAGGAAGAATTCTTTGTTCTTCCTAAAAATTAGAAGAGTGTTCTGAAGCCATTTCTGAATTCAGCATTCAGAGATTCATCCTAGAATTTACCTCCCAATTATTTCTTTAGTTTATTCATTTTAGAAAATCTGGGATCCCTTGAATGGAGAAAGAGAAATACATCCATGTGTCAGGTACTCTCCTAGTTGCTTACACTGTCTTGTTTAATTCTCATAATTCCCATACATGATCACAGGTGGTTTTGTTCCTAATTTATAGCTCCGTTATGTGCTAACAGTATGTCCGGGTAAGTTGGAGTTAAATGTGAGGATAAAACAGTTCTTAAAATTCCCAAGTCAATGATGTAACTGTGTTGTGGCATAAACTAGACTAAAAATTCTGATGGTTTAATTGTAACTTTATATTCCTCTAGTTCTGTTTTTTAACATATAAATGACATATACACTTAGGGAGTTTTCTACTCATTCTTTAAAATGGAATGTTTATACCTTTTTATTTGTAGTCCACTTTACCTCTTCTTAATGTGATGGGTTTTCTAACCACATTTGACAAGAAGTAATGAATGTAAGGACCCTAGTACATTATAATTTCAAGGGGATTGAGGAGATTTGTATCATTGTATATATTTGTCAGTCTGCATGAATCATTTCTGTATATTCAGAAATTCATGTACTGACATTCTTGGAAATTATTTTTTGTACTATTGGCATTTTCGTTTTAAGTACTGGTCCTTATTTTACTAAACATTTTTTATGAAAATATTTCCAAAAATTATTGTTTTCCCTTATTAGAAAAAAAGCTCTCAATGTAATTACATTTAGCCTCTTCTTGATGACTTGTTATTTTGAGCATCAGTTATTATATAATGTGCTAGGTAGTAGATGCCAATAAATAAAAACAGTCAAACTCTAAGAAGTTAGTTTTCGTTATAAATAAAATAGAGGGACCAGAAGAGAATTCCTGTATGTTATGGTAACTGAGTAGTCTTACCAAACAATTGGGGAGAGAGGACAGGAAGCCATTGAAAACTTTGACAGGGCCAGGGTTGGTCATGGTTAATATTTTTAAACTAGCACATGAATTGCTTGCCTAATAAATCTGAAATATATTTTATCCTTCTTTAAACAGCTTTAGTGCAGCCGCCATTATCCATGACTCCAGAAACTGTGAAAGATGTTGGATTTGGTGGTCTTGTTTTACCTGGCGGTTCTGTTGCCAGCAGTCTTGCTACTTCCACTCTGCCAGCTGGAAATGTTTTTAATCCTCCAACTAAACAAGCAGAGCCTGAAGAAAAAGTACCTCATCTTCTAGACCACCAGATTCCTTCTGGTGAAAACACCAGATCAGGTAAAACAAATAAATTCCCCAGAAATACATAGTTAAATCATAAGCACTACTTCTCTATATTGGTGTTGCTTAATTTTGAGATGCCGTGCATTTGTAACCAGTTAAGTGCACCAGTATTGAAATGTTGCAGTGTTTAAAAAGAGATCACTATCTCCTAGAATTTCTCTTCGAAAAAAGTTGGCATTCTTTTCAGGATAGTAATAGATTTTGGCACGTTTCTTTTTCGACCTCTACCCCTCCTTTTTTGGGCCTATTGGGACTGCTTTAATGTGTTGGTATCAAAATACAATTGCACAAAATATATATACTTAAAGAAAGATAAGAATGAGCAAGGTATGAATAACTTTTACCCAGTATTCTCTACCTAGGTCTAAAAGATCAATATATTTGAAAGTAGCAAGTCCTCTTTTATGGCACCACTGTTAGTGTATTAAAACTTGTTTGTACTTTAGAAACATCTTTGTTAAAGGTGGAGAATTCCTATAATACCTGACATTTTTCTTTTAAATGTTCTGTGTAAAGATTTTTAAGTAACATCCCACTTATGTCTTAATATTTTAAATTTCACTGTGCATGGTATTTAATAATTTTAACTTTTGTTTAATATCTAATGTGTCTTGATTCTTCTGGCATACAAGTAGTTGATTAACTCTAGGCTAGCTAACTATAGCATTAGTAATGACAAATACAGTTTCCTTTTATACCAGAATGATTTTTTGTATTATTTTTCCTCTTTCTGATTTAGTGATTCCAAATGATATTCCAAGTAGCCCTGCAATTTTAGGAGGACAGCCGCCAAATGTGACAAGCAATTCTGGAATTCTGGGAGTCCAAAGACCAAATGTATCGAGTAATTCTGAAATTATTGGAATCCGGCCATCTAATGTTTCCAGTAGTTCTGGGATTATTGGAGCCCAGCCACCAAATATTCTAAATAACTCTGGAATTTTGGGACTACAGCCACCAACTGTGTCAAGTAGTTCTGGACTTTTGGGAGTGCTCCCCCCAAATATCCCTAATAATTCCGGACTTATAGGAGTACAGCCACCAAATGTTCCAAACGCCGCTGGACTTTTGGGGACACAACCCCCAGCTGGGCCTCAAAACTTACCCCCTTTAAATCTCTCTAGTCAAAGGATGCCCACAATGCCAATGTTAGACATTCGTCCAGGACTAATACCACAGACACCTGGACCAAGATTCCCTTTAATACAGCCTGGAATTCCACCCCAAAGGGGAATCCCTCCCCCATCGGTACTTGATTCAGCTCTTCATCCGCCACCCCGTGGTCCTTTTCCTCCAGGAGATATTTTTAGTCAGCCAGAAAGACCTTTTCTAGTTCCTGGAAGACAAAGTGTAGACAATGTTACCAATCCAGAAAAAAGGATACCACTTGGGAATGATAACATTCAACAGGAAGGAGATAGAGATTACCGGTTTCCTCCCATTGAAGCCAGGGAAAGCATTAGTAGACCTCCCCCCGTGGATGTTAGGGATGTGGTTGGACGGCCTATAGATCCAAGAGAAGGTCCTGGAAGGCCTCCATTAGATGGTAGGGATCATTTTGGAAGACCTCCTGTCGATATTAGAGAGAATCTTGTGAGGCCAGGCATAGATCATCTTGGTCGAAGAGACCACTTTGGCTTTAATCCAGAGAAGCCCTGGGGGCATAGAGATTTTGATGAGAGAGAACATCGGGTTCTACCTGTCTATGGTGGTCCAAAAGGCTTACATGAAGAAAGAGGTAGATTTCGGTCTGGAAACTATCGATTTGATCCTAGAAGCGGTCCTTGGAACAGAGGATTTGGACAAGAAGTTCACAGAGATTTTGATGACCGCAGAAGACCCTGGGAGAGGCAAAGGGATAGGGATGACAGAGATTTTGATTTCTGCAGAGAAATTAATGGAAACCGTCTTGGACGAGATAGAATTCAAAACACCTGGGTCCCCCCTCCTCATCCTCGGGTTTTTGATTTTTTTGAAGGGGCCACTTCTCAACGAAAAGGTGATAACGTGCCTCAGGTTAATGGTGAAAATACCGAGAGACATGCCCAACCACCACCTTTACCAGTACAGAATGATCCTGAACTTTATGAAAAACTGACATCTTCAAGTGAAATAAACAAGGAGAAGAGTGACACAGTTGCTGATATAGAAAGTGAACCAGTGGTAGAAAGCACAGAAACTGAGGGGACATAATCATCGCTCAGTAGGTAAAAGATACCTTTTGTAAAGTTGTCATCTCTCTGTAATAGATTATTGGCTGACTGGACCATAGTTGTTCACTTTTGTCTGCCAGAATTAAGTTAATCTGATGTTCATGTTCACCTTTCTCTTAAAATAATTGTACAACTGACTTGTATAGACATTGTTCTTAATATGAACATGGTAGGTAAACATTTTTTTATTTTTCTGATAAAATATAAATGTTGCCCCCAGATTCTTTTAACTTCAAGGAAATGAATAACAGCTTGTCAGAGACTTCCTATGGAAGAAAGAATTTTTTAGATACTACCATTAGGTTGGATATGGTAATAGATATATTTCAAAATAGCAAGTGATGGTATATCTTATCCATATCTTTAGGCTGCTGCAGAATTTTAAGGTAATAGACAAAGCTGTGATATTTTATGCAAAGACTGGCTCTAGATATTTGAGGAGCACAATACAGAGATTTTAAAAAGTGATTTTGTAAAATCTACACTATGGTCTCTGTTTCTCCAAAGTAAGTGTTTGTGATTTGTTCCTCATACTGCAGTGAGTAAAAAAGAAAAAAGAAAAAAAAGAAAACAACAAATATTAAAGTACGTTTCAATGTTGGGTGAATTTTGTTTTTAGATGCCAATAAAACTTACTTGTTTGATAACAGTGTTCTAGGAATTGTATTTTTTTAATCTACAAATTCTTAAAACCCTGGATCATTAGCAGCATGTGCTTATTAGTTGTTGCAGAAGTTTTTTATTACTCTTAACAACAATGAAGAACTGTGTGGTGGAAAAACATGTACTTTGATATAAAAATCATGCAGTCTCATTAGTATGTATGTAATATCTGTGTATATTTATTGTGTAAGTCATACGTAGATTCTTCTGTTTCTCTGTATGTCTGTCTTCGTGTACATACAGAGAAAAATAGCGGATAGTTTAGATAATAAAATAGTCTTCAAAATCGGATAGAAAATTAGAGAAATTTGGCTAGTTGACAATGCTTATAGTCAAAACTCTTCTTAGCTTTTATGAAGGTAAAATAACTATTGTAAAGAAATGCATTGGCCGTTTGGCAATTCTGTTTTAATGTAGTTAGGCATGAAACCAGAGTTAGCATGGAGCCAAAATTCACATGAATGCTTGCATTGCTTTGTTTCACATTATATTTGCTATTCTGCATAGATAGTGCTAGTACTAAAGTACTTGTTACTTGCCTGAAGTGGATTTCTTAATTGCACAGAATGTATAGAGGTGTTGGTGGATTTAAAAACATTATATATATCAGGAACAAAGCGTCCACCATGTGTTTTGTAGGCTGTGGGTAACACTGTTCAGATTAGCCTCCAAGGTAAACTGAGTAGCAGAAAAATTGGGGATTAGTTTTCTATTTATTTATTTATTTTTGCTTTTAATTTTCATTTATTTGCTGTTTGTTTTTCCTTTGGGTTTTACATATATATACATATATATAAAACCATTGGTGGTTTTTTTCGCTCCTAATGAAGGCTTTTATTTGGTCCTATGAATAGACATTTTTGCTCCCTATGCATTCCCAACTATTCATCATTTGCTCTATTTCTCTAAAATTCTTAAGCTATGTTTGTCAAGCCTGCCCAGAGTAACGATAGAACACACCGGCTATTTAAAATTGGATTGTTTTTGCTTACCTCTTGATGATCTAAAGAGCTATAAGAGCTTTATGGATGGTTCCTGGCCAAAAAATCAAGTCATTTCTTCTTATAGGTTCTGAACAGAAATAGTACATTATTTGTTTTGTTACGTGAAGAAGTGGGTACTAGTGGAAATTGGGTGTTTATTTCTACAGTAATTCAGTCCAGTAATTTGAATTGGTTTCAGTCTTTTCCTTAGGAAAACAGGAAAAACTGTGACATTGGTACAAAGTATTAATGTTCAGGAATGATTAGCCTTGTCCTTAAGGAACTTATATTGACTGGGATTTCAAACTACTTTAGTTGCATTTACCATTATTAAAATTAAGTGACATTCACTTGGATTAAGTAGCAATAAAAATGTAAGACTTTTTAGTGACCTTTGATCCCAAGTTTTCTTTTTATCACTGTTGGGCCTTCATGTGCAAACTTGAAAACAAAATACATACAAGTATTGCACTGCTTTGAAGATTCTGGTGGTGAAAGTTAACCTAATCAGTTGTCAGTAAGTGTAGAATCCCATCTTGGGAGTGTGTGACACTCTGAAAATAGTTGAAAATAATTATGTGTACTTGTTCTCACTTTGTTCCTATTTGGTAGTATAGTATTTAAGTGAAAGGATATTATTCATCCTCATACTGAATTTCCAAAGTTGATACTTATGTTCACCATTTTTTTAAATAATGGAGAGAAGTTAATTATCTTTAAGTTTGACGCAAGACCTATCATGTTTTGATGCTTTTGATCCCAGTACTGTCACTAGAATGCTAGCCATTAGAAATATGCAAGGAGTAACCTAACCACTTTAATAAAATTCTTCAAAGTGCTGCAGGCAGTATCTATACATTAGCCACCAAATCAATAATGTTTTGATTTGTGATATGTCAGAGAATGATATGACTCTCTGAGGTATTTGTAGACTACAGTTTTAGTAGATACTACTTTTTAAATTTTTTTTTGTCTTTAAACATTTCATTAAACATTGGCTTCTATTTATAGCATAAATACATATAATGTACTTTGATCATTTATATTGCAGTAGAAATTTATCTTACAGCAAAGCAATCATTATTTGTAGCATATTATAGGTGGAATGCTAAATTTATTTCAGTACATAGGATGGACAAATGCTTAGCATTGGAAAACGGAATAGTATAAAATTATTCACTTTAAAACTCTGAAAATGACTTCATGTAAGATTTAATTGATAAAATTTGTTCATTATTTAAGCTCTTATATTACTAGAGTTTCTTTTGTCGTGATAATTTAGTTGCTTCATTAAATTTATTGGCCATTTTCACTCATATAAAAGATTATAGTTATGGAGCTACACATTTAAGGTTGTTTTGGGGGTGGGTCACTTTTGTTACATTTGAAAAGAAGAAGTTACCTCTTTTAATTTGAAAAAGTATTTTTTTATAAACGAACACCTTAGTTCATCAGATCTAAGGTGCCATTGATTGTGAGAACCATTCAGGAATAAAAAATGTTTCCAACATAACATGCCAGTGATTATAAGACCCATCCTAATTCAGAAATGTCAAAATGTAAAGTGTCTTAGAATCAAATACGGTATTCATTATGAATTTTATATATATAATCCCTTATTCATTAAGTCATTTAAAGAACATTTTGATGATGTTTTTTGTCATTGTATATATTTTAGATGGGCACAACTTTAAAGAAAAAGAAAATTTTAGTATTCAATTAAAAATAATTTTGTTATACCTTATGTGCCTTTATTATCATTACTTTATCGGGTGCTATATTAATAAAATGTCTTAAGGGCTTTTAACTCTTTCAGAGAAAGAAAACATTAGCATTTTTCTCTTTAAATATTTTACATAATGTAGAAGAGGAGAAGCAAGTCCTTTATATTCATTTTTAAGATAGGTAAAATTAAAAACTAAATATTTGTAAATAGTCATAAATACTGCAGTGTGGCAGAGAATTATAAATGTTTCCTTAATTGAGGATGATGTGGTTTTATATAAAACATCTTTTAAACTATAAGTTTTAGGCATTGAAATTTTTGTTTTCCGCTTCTGGAGAAAAAAAGATTACTACTTTTTAATGGGAGATTTAAAAACAAGATACCTTGGTTTAGCCAAACTTTCTGGAACTAGAATTCAAAATTAATGGCCCAGATTATTTTCTTGAGTGGGGGGGGGTTACTTTAAATAGGGGCATACATATTGAAAGCAATCTGAAATACACCGTGTCTGTGATTCTCAGCCAAGAAATGTATAACAGAATCACCTGCTGGATCTATTTGGAAATATCAGGAGGTGGAGGGATGTCACCACAGACTGACTAATACAGAATTCCCTGGGGAGATACATATTTTTATACATATGTACACACACACACACACACACACACACACCCCTCCCTGGGTGTATATTTACTTTTTAGATTCCCACATACCACCACTTCAGATAATTTAAAACATGTAAATACTTAATATACTGTGCACTTGAGATTCTTTAAAAAATTCCTTAAGTAAAATACTTTGGTGATCTAAAAATTATTTGGAGTGTTTCAATAAAGTGTATAATTTGTGGCGGTTGGTGTTGGAGTATGAATAAAAACAGGGAAGTCATTATCACCAATGTTTTAAACTCATTAAAGCATTAAGCATTAATCTAAAAATGAATTAAAGCGAAGCGATGGAAAGAAGCATATGAGATGGTTTTATAGGAAGTATTTTTGACTCAAGTGAAACTTTGTTATAGGATACCTCACAGAAAAATTTACTCGATACCATGGAATTAAATGCTTTGATTATAGAAGGAGCCCTTTTGGGACAAAATTACGAGCATTAAATTTATCAAGGACTGGTAATGTTACTAGTAAGACTACTTAGATGTGGGTTGCACATCAAAAACTAATGCAGATCAGTGGCTTATTTTGCATGAGCTTTGCTCAGACATTTTTCTTCCCCTCTACTTCTCCCCTCTTTCAGGGTGGTTGTTTCATTCTGTATGTATACTTAGAATTACCCGGCCTTGTTCTAGTCGCAATATAGAACGAATATTCTAAGTAATTAAATTCCAATTCTAAGTAAATTGGAAACTATAGGTCAAGGGGTAGAATTGTGCTAACAGGCTAACTATATTGTTGTAGAAGTGTTAGGTGCTTTGGATAGTGGGATGATCTGTAGTGACGGAAGCAGAGGGAGCTCTTATGCACAGAGCTCACTAGATGGTAGAGAGTAAACTTGGAACTTGTGACTTTGAGCCAAGAATTAATGAGAACTAGATGAGTTTAATGAGTCTATTACATTTGTGTGGCAATGGCAGAATGTAGCACTTGGTTGACCTTTGTTGTTTGTCCCTCTCTAAACCTCCATGGGCAGCTATCATTATTTTGTCTTATTTGTCTTATTTTTCTGCCTTTCTCAGAATTCTCAAATTCTTCTCATCATAGCACTCCAGCCTCCTTTTTGACCCTTCATTTCAGGCAAGGACTATCAATTGGACAGAACTATGGTGAAAACAATCTGCTGCCCCTTGGCTTAGTGATTTCTAAGGTCATTTCTAGCATTTAAATACATTGAGTCTATGAAATAAATTTTCACTTCTGTAAAAAACCAGCTGAGGAAGCAGGAAGAACAAAGGGAAAGACTAACGACATTGGAACTTTTAAAGAGACCACAGATTTCATTACATTAGGTTTTCAAACCTATCTTTAACATTTGCTAGATAAATGTCTTTAGGCAAGTTACTGTATTTCTAAGCATCATTTCTTAACTAATCTGTAGGGTTACACTTTTTAAATTATTGATAATATTAGCTAATATTTAATGACACATACTATGTGACAAGAACTGGGATAATTTTACTACGTGTATAAGCCTCATGACAATCTTGTAGTATTAATATTTTAATATCTATTTTACTAACGAGAAACCTGTCACAGATTTAAGCTATTTCCCAAGGTCACACAACTTATAAATATTTGAGCAAAGATTGAAACCCAAGTTTATTACTTTCAAAAATTAGTGTGTACCACCTTCTAAAGTGCCAGACGTACATGGCAGAGGCTCACAAACTATTAATTCCTCTTCTGTTTAAAAGGCAAATAAATTTGTGCAGAAAAACAAACTTGAACCACCAGTCTTATCCTTATAGGGTAAGGCTGCATTTAAAAACTAAATTGAACTTGTGTTTTCGCTATTACAAGTATATGTGGGACTATCTTCTTTTCCTATAGCTAAACAATCACTTCAGCTTCATTTTCTTAGATTCTGTTTTCAGGATTTGGGTTTTTCTTAAGGGTATACCATGATATAATGTTAACTTTCTTAATAACATGCTATTTTGGAGGCAAGTTTGTGTTGCATTGATATTAAATAAGATTTCTTTTTGATTACAGCTTTCCCCACAAATAAAATAAAATATCAAAACGTATTTATTTTTTAAAATGTTTTCATACATGTAAAGCAGAGCCAGTGATTGCTTGCAAATTTATCTTTTAGGTTGTGGCCTTGGCAGCTCCTTTCTAAAATTCAGCATTTGTATACTGTATGTATAGTCCAAACTTAGTACTCAGTTTTCTTGTGTATAAAACTCCTATATTAGGAATATTCCATGGCTTGAATGAAGTTAAATATGTAAAATTGTCTTTACACATAGTAAGCATTCAGTGTTAGTCTTTATTCAACACTTGAATTCAAGTAGTTTTAGAGTCTAGCTCTGTTGTCTTTGGTGGCAGTGGATAATTTGCAGTGATTTTACTTTACTTGAATATATAATCTGATTATAGGATTTCTTTCTCTTCAAGTCTTCTGTTAATATCACTAAACTTAGGTTCATATAAGGTTTAATCCATAGCATGTCATGGTGCTGGCCTCTGATCACCTTTTCCAGAGTCTTTGGAAAGAGGACTCTAAACATTGTGGCCATATTACTGGCTAATTCACATGTCAGGGGAACATGCTTATTATATTTGTGAGTTATACTTCTATTTCTACTAATCTTGTCAAAGGTAATTATTATTTTGCTTATGTTATTATTACATGAAATAAATTCCTGTATTTGAACAATGACTTTTTAATAACAGGAGTCTTGTGTTTATTACTGAACTTGGGTCAGTTTGCATATTAATAAGAATATTAGTAAATCAGAAGACTTGTGTTGAATAAAATTAACCTTTGAAAGTATAAGGGATAAACTATTGTTTAAGAATTGATCTTTCTGTGGTAATTGAAATTACTTTGAACCTTTTTAAAAAGGAGAGGGTAGCATTTACCATATCAGGAAGTTCTGAAGAGCATGACATCTTAGATGTTGTGGTCATACCGAGGATAAGGATTTAGAGATTTCTAAGTAGTTAAACCATCAGAACTTAATTTAGGACAGTGTTTTTTATAAATTTATTTAATGATATTTTAATTATAGCCCTCTGTTTTTATCATATTGTTTCCTGAATTGTTAGCCAAATGACCACAGGTTAAAATGCATTCTTATTACAGAGAGAGAAGAGCTTGGGGGGTGGAGAGACTTAACATTTTTGGCCTCTGTGTTGTGGACATTGTACATAATTTATGTTCAGAAATACACTGGTAGGATTTGTTATCTCTCTCTCGCTCTCTTTTTTTTTTTTTTTTTTTTTTACAAATGAAGCAAACCTCAAGTCCATGGTTACACAGGTTTTGTTTGCACAGGTGTTTGACCCCAGGTTTTGCTGACTTGACTTTAAAAGATGCTGTTTTGGAAAGGTAGATTTTAGTTCATGATCTATGTAATTAGTTTCCTGCTGTAACAACATTACCAAAAATCAGGGGGCTTAGAACGGCAGAAACTTACTATCTCACAGTTCCAGAGGCTAGAAGTTCGAATCTAAGTGTTGCCAAGAGCCATGCTGTCTCTCTGAAGGCTTTAGAGGAGAATCCTTCCTTTCCTCTTCCAAATTTCTGACAGTTCTCATCAGTCCTTGGTGTTTTTGACTTGTAGGTGCATCACTTCAATCTCTGCCTCTATTGTCAAATGACAATGTCTTCCATCGTGTGTCTTCATATCATCTCTCTGTGTATGTCTGTGTCTCAATTTTCCTCTTATAAGGACATCAGTTATATTGGACTGGGAACCCACCCTACTTCAGTATGATGTCATCTTAACTAATTAATCTGCAATGACCCTATTTCCAAATAAGGTCACATTCTGAGGTACTGGGAGTTAGGACTTCAACATACATTTTTGGAGGACACAATTCATACAACAGCCTGTGACTGAATTCTGTAACTATTTAAGATTTAAGTAAACAGACCTTGAGAATTTTAGAATACATACAGTAGGAAAGGTAGTCGCATTTTAGAGTGACAAAACACATCTTTACAGAATTCCACTTTTAAATTACTTTGGTTGTTATAACAATCATATTTTAATCCCTAATACAAGTATTGCAAGCCTTTAAACACAGTAGCACTGCCTAGCTTTTTAGATGGATTTATAATGCCTGTAAACTAAAAGTTAATTTCTTTAGTAATAATTGAACTAAAAGAATTTGCAAAGAAAATCCAATACTATTAGTATTATATATACTATATATATGATCTATTTACTGTGAATTATTCTTGCATTAAAGAAATTGACTTTAAAAAGTGGAGGTTTTTTAAAACTTTATTAAATACAGCCACCCTAAAAATTGCTGTGTGTCTTCCCATTTCATTTGTACTGTTTGTATCTTTTAAATAGTATTAACATTTTCTGCTTTGTCTATTCAGTAACATTTTCCCTTAAGTGATATGACTATCATTCTGCCATTTCAGTGGGTTTTTAGAAATTAGTTTTTTATTTGCCAAATGACCAGTTTGTTCACTATTTTTATTTATCTAGTGTTAAAAACCTTAATACATTTCTCTATTTTTTCATAGAATTAGCCAGCAGAATTTGTATTTGATCAAGTAAAAACAACTTTGTGTTGACTGAAATCAAAGTTATATGAATATATAGGTCTTTACCAAATAGGTGTCTTAACAAAGGCCCCTATAACTTTACAGAAACTTGGACAATTCTCTTGATTTTTATTTGAAGAACACCAAAGCACTTAAAACACTGCCTGGCATTTCATACTACATAGGTATTCACTGTTGTAATTGTTAATAATGGCCAGTAGAGACTTTGGGACATGCAAATCAGCGTTGTGTTAATTACAAATAATTAAGAGACTATTTGTACAGATCTGAATATTCAAAATGGGGGAGGAGAGGATAGGACAGGGAATGGAGTTTTGTATGGTTTTGGAGCTTTACAGGGCTTCTTAGGCTTTTTTTTCTTTTTTTTTTTAAACCTCCTTGACCTATGTTTGTCTGATGGATTAGGCTAGTGGCAATCATCCTACTGGCCCAAGTGGCTGGCCTGTCACGGAGAGATCAGGAAGAACAATTAGAACACTTCCTACCTTTGGTTGTTTAAATATGTCCAGATAGTAATAATTTAGTGGTTAAAAATAGTATTCCTGATTTTTTTACTCAAAGTAGGAATTCAAGTTTTAAGAGTAGATTTTTTCCCATGGGACTTGAGAAAGGCTGACTTGGTTGAAATGAAAAATAGATCTACACTTCTCCCATGAATATATTCATGCTAAAAAATGTTCTTAATCATTGAAAATAAACTAAATACTTCCTTAAATTGTGTCTGATTCAATCCATTGTATGGGAAACCACATTTAGAAAAATGATTTTCAAATTTGTTATTAGATCTCCCTATATGACAGAGAATTTGAAAAACATTTTATCCCAAAGTAAGTCTGTCAAAATTTTAGATCCAGGAGATTATCTATTTGGGGAGAGAAGTAGTTTAGTTAACTGTTGCCAATTCTGGAATCTCTAGTAATCCGTAGGAGGCAGTTTAAGAAGATATAGTAAGGATCTTGGTTCCACTGGCAATCACAAAATGCCACAGTAACTACAGTAACTAGTTATCTGTTCTTTCAAACGTGAAGCAGTAATTTTTTTTTATTAGAGCTTTATAAAAATAACAGACTCTTAGGTGATAATATAAAATTTAATTTTTACCTTGATATAGAAAGCTAATTTTGGAATGGGGCAGTCCCTTAAAATGTCACAGCTCTAATCTTTCTTTGCCACCTTGGTTATTTTATTTGTTGGACCAAAGCTATAGATGTAGGACTTCACATGGAAGGATCTAAGTACATAATACACCAGCCCCCAAATTCACAATTCAGAGCCTTTTATTTAAGCTGTGTATTTCAACTTGTCTTCATAGTATGACTTTTATACTCTGGGCAAGTAAAATCAGTAGTTCACATTTTAATGAGTGGTAGAGTAAGGTTGATTTCTAAATTAGTATTAGTTTTCAAAGGGTGAAGAAATGGCTCCTCTCACTCCAAAAGCATTTCTATTTAATAGTAAAAGTAGGGAATCTGGAAATGGTCAGGAATGAAGGAAAAATTTTGATCTCAGGTTCGCCTGAGAAACTAGGGGGATAAAGGCACTAGCTTTTAGATCTCATGAACCTCTAGCTAAGGGTTATAGACAAGGTTATGGCCTTGATTCTTTCTAAACCACTAAACATCAGATGGAAAGGATTTTAAGAGTTACAGGAATAGTGTAACCAGATCCTGAAAATAAGTCATGATATATAGGTTCAGAGAATTAAATGAGGCTGACACTTTGTGATTAGCCATTAAGTCCTTTGAAATATAATTTTCTCAGTTTTGCCAAAGAAATACTTTGCTACTTTTCCTTTCATTCTTGGCAGTTTAGATAGCCCTCCATTTCTTTTTGTAGCTCTAAGTGTCTTTTTGTCCCACGGGAAAAGAAAGTGATTATAGAACACTGGCTTATTGGGTTTGTCATCAAATATCTACTCAGGCACCTTAAACAGAAACTTACTTGGGAAGGAAGTGGTTGAGCTGCGTTGATTTTTTTCTTGGTAAATATTTTTGTTGTTGTTCAGTGAGTAGTCTGACTTTATTTTTGTTTCTCTCTTGACTGTTTACCTTTTTAATTTGACATTTCAAATAGTTTCTAACAATACAGCTCATAATTGGAAATATATGTGCATATATGCACTCACATATTCACACACACACACACACACACCACATACTTTCTCCTCAGAGAACCTTCAGCAAATGTATAGTTTCTTTTGATCTTTTTGTGATGGCACTTGACTATGCTCTCAGGAAATCAGACAATTTAAAACCAGTTTCTTTTCTTTCTCTGATTTGAGTCTCACATCTTCTTACCAAACTTGTATTTCTTTAGCAATTAGATCTTTTTTTTTTTTTAAAGATTTTATTTATTTATTTGACAGAGAGAGACACAGCGAGAGAGGGAACACAAGCAGGGGGAGTGGGAGAGGGAGAAGCAGGCTCCCCGCAGAGCAGGGAGCCCGATGCTGGACTCGATCCCAGGACCCTGGGATCATGACCTGAGCCGAAGGCAGTCGCTTAACCAACTGAGCCACCCAGGCGCCCTAGCAATTAGATCTTTAAAGCCTAATATTTTCTTATCAGGGCCTACTCAGTCTTCATTAGAAATATGACTCCTTTAAATGCTCTAGTAACCAGAAACTAATACTAAATGTATACTCCGTACTAAACATATTCTCAGAGAATGAGAGCAAGCAACAGAGCCACCTATATATAGTTTTTAAAGCATTAATATTAGGGCACCTGGCTGGCTCAGTCAGAAGAGCATGTGACTCTTGATCTTGGGGTTGTCCGTTTGAGCCCCACTGTTGGGTGTAGAGATTACTTTAAAAAAAAAAAAAGGCAGTAATATTTCTGGCTAAAAAAAAAGTACTAGCACTAAATCATTTTTTTTTTAAAGATTTTTTTATTTGAGAGAGAGAGAATGAGAGCACATGAGAGGGGGGAGGGTCAGAGGGAGAAGCAGACTCCCTGCTGAGCAGGGAGCCCGATGCGGGACTCGATCCCGGGACTCCAGGATCATGACCTGAGCCGAAGGCAGTCGCTTAACCAACTGAGCCACCCAGGCGCCCCAGCACTAAATCATTTTTGATTGAACTTCTGATTTATTACAGCCTAACAATACTCATTTACCATCCAGTGCTCTTAATGTCATCAGT